CCTGCTCCTGCTCCTGCTCCTGCTCCTGCTCCTGCTCCTGCTACTCTAACAAAAGCCCCCTCCTACCTCCTCTCGACTCCCCTTCCTCTTACTTCCCTCCTCTCCGTCCCATCGCCACATCCTCTCTTTCTCCCCATCCTATCCTTCCTTGCACACTGCACGGACTCACTCTCGCCAGCTCGGCGATGGCGTAGAGTGCATTTGCACTGACAAGCTTGTCGGTGGGAAGGGACTCGGGGGAGGAGATCATCTCAAGAAGCGCTTCTAGGGCGAATCTGCGGCAAAACATCTCAATGTAAGCAAGGGACCAAGAAGAGGTAGGACGGGGTCAGGACGATTGAGCTGCAGTTGTCCTCCGAATTCTCCGCCAACATCGCCAACGCCCATGCAGCCTGAGAAAGGTTCAGGTCGGTTCCATCCTTCAGCTCTCAGCACCTGCTCTTTCCCTGGATCGGATCCTGTCGCGCAAATGTGGACAAGAGCAGCGATGGAGCCTTCGGTGTTTGCAAGCGAGACTCTGTTCTCCTCGTTGTCTCTCACTACCTCAGCGATGCTGTACGCCGCTCGCTCTCTCGCCTCGTCCGACGAGCAGCAGGCGACCTTGACCAGAGCGTTCATCGCTTCTGGTATGCTTCCTATGCTCCTCCTGTTCTCTTCGCTCTCGTTCGCTAGCGAGCCAAGGGCCCACGCTACGTTGGCTCTGCAAGCGTGTGACATGGAGCAGGAGGAGGTGGTTCAAGTCAGAGAAACACCTGCAGTCGTCGGGTAGGTCGTCATTATCTGCCATCTCAACGAGCATCTGAGTGTCTTGTCAAGTCGCAACAATCATTACAAGCAGCGCACTGCTAACAGTCCTCGAGCTCGCCCTAGCAGCTGCTGGTTGCTGCTGTCGGAAGCCAAGAGGGCGATCATCAGGCACGCATACCTGAAAGGTATCAGCAACTCAGAACGGGAGAGCGAGAAGATCAGACACAACTTTTTTGATTTGTCACTTCCATCCTCGCACAGCCGGAGAAGCGCATCGACGGCACTTGGATCTTGACTAAAAAGAATCTTCCAAGCAGGTTAACAAGCGTCCTGAAGCAACAAGATCCACTCGCCTGATAATCGTCAGACTCCGTCATCTAACGTGGCATCGTCAGGCAAACATCTCAAGAGCGCATAACTTCATACCATCTCCGCTAGCCTGAAGATCGCGTTCTCAGGATCCTCCCCTGATAGCTCCCGTAGAGCCGTACAGAACTCCTCCTCTTTGTTCGGCATGACCTCTTTCCGTGCCCGATGGGATCAACAGAGCACTGCCGTTTCCTTCATCTCAAAAGCCTTTGATGACTTTGACAGAACGGTTAGGACGGTAAGACCCGATCTGATGCCACTGGTTGTACCACTCAAATGTTGTTAAGTGACCTCACCACACAATGGGCCTGTCGAATACTGCTAGCATGCACCTTTATCAAAAGAGTCTGGAGTCTGCCTCTATCCATATCCGACAATAATTTGCCTATTCTTGCCTAGCTAGTCTCTTAGCATTCAACAGCGTGTTCACTCTCGCCCATCATGGCGCATCATCTGGCCCTTGAACTATCTCATGTCTGAAAGTACATATCGCGACAACTATCGCAAACGAACGTGTATCTCTCCACCCCTTTCCCATCCTCTTGTTACCCCTACGGGGCTCTCTTCAGCTGTCCCATCTCAGCTTCGTCGTCTCCTTCCTCTCCCTCTCTCCTTCTCTTCCTCCTCGCTCTCTTGACATGTTGGCCACATCCCCTGCATTCCCTGCATCTCTGAGTAAGTTGTCGGGCAAAATTTAATTGAGTAAAACTTCAGGCGTTTGATTTTTTTTTTCTAACTTCGGAACTGCCGCAGTGCGGCAAGGCCCCGGGCCGCTTCGGACTGAAATCAACGCCGGGTTACCGTAGTACCGTACCGTCGGTCACCGGTACGGTACTGAGGGTTGCCTGAAAACTGTTGGAGCCTGCCGCGGCGGACCATGCCAGGCAGCCTCCACTGAAGCCCGTCACGGGCCGCGCTCCGAACGGTCCAACGGAACTTCAGAAGGCAGAGCCTGCCAGGCTGTCACAGTAGCGGCCGCGACGACGGCCGCCCAACGACGGTTGCAAGAAGTTGCCCGTCACAGCCTTTACTCAAAGTTAAGTGAGATCCGAGTACGAAGATCGGCAGCCTGGACACTTTCACAACCGTTCATGATGATCGGACCGTTGAACTGCGGCCAGAGCCGGGCCGCCCGCCTGCGGCGAGGGCCACCGTGCCACGCTCACCGGCGGTCACCGGGTGCCGGCCCACTCAGACGGTCCCCCGGGCCGGGCCGGGGCGGGCGCGGCCGCCGGGGCGGCGCCGCGGCCCGGCCCGCCGCTCAGGCTCACAGGCTCACCCGGCCCTGACTGAGTCACTACGGTTGCAACCGCCGCCGCCGGATCCGATCGAACTTAGAGCGCCGCTTGACACAGTCCGGCGCCGCAGCGCCGGCCGCCGGGCCGCGGCGGCACTGGTGACCGGGCGCCGGGGGGACTCCGGGCTGTCACCGTCACGGTCCGCCGAGAGTCAACGCGCCCGGCCGGCCCGGGAGGCCCGGGGCCCCGCGCGCGCGCCGCCGCGCCGGGACTCGCGGCTCGTCTGTGTTCAGTAGTCAAGTCAGTGGTTCCGGCGCCGGCGTGGCCGGAGCCGCTGCGGCCGGTGCCTGGCCGCGCCAGCACTCAGATTCGATCGTCATCGGCGGGTGATGGGGCCGCCGAACGTACGGGGCCTTGCAATACTAATACCCGGTGACCGCCGCCGGGTACGGTGCTAGCCTGAGCAGCCTATCACAGCCGCTGAGCCCTGCCTCTGGAACATATCCTGACTCAACGTTAAACGTTAGGTTTTATGATTCTAGTCTGATATTGCTCAAATATATTTCGATCATAGCCTAGTATGCAGCAGCCCGAAGGATTAAACAGACCAGCCGTTCAAAAAATCCATCTCTGCACGTGCAGGATCGTCCAGATATTCACCATGCTTCGTAGAAACCTCAGCTGCGTCATCGTTACCATCCATTCTCAGTGAATCACCAAGCCTCAATCTCTTATTCCAACTAAAAGTCAGCGGCCAAAACATAGAATTCTGACTTGAACTTGAATCATTCCTTGGACTTTTTCTGCGTTCCATAATCATTGTTGGACTTGATGGTGCCCGAAGATGTTTCGTTACTTCTCGTTTGTCATTCGATTCTCTAGAAAATATTGAAGAGTCTGCCAAGCTCATCAGGCTGCTTGCTGGAATCCCCAACCGCAACAAATATCTCCTCCGAAGCTGGAATGCAGATCGATTGGCCCACATGAGATGTTTGAGGCAGCTTGTCTCATTCAGTTGGAGAAACGTCTGTAAGCTTGTAGATTCCAGCGGCGTGTCATGCTTCAGACAACATTTCCCATAATCCATACCAACAATGCATCGAGATTCTCTAGAATCGTTGTACTCTGGACCGTCATCGCGTACTAGCGGCAGAGACCAATGGACCGTTCTGGATCTCAGTAAAGGGTCTACCTCAGGCGAGTCACTTCGAGCTTGTTCGCGGAGTCGTAAGCGCGGAGAAGAAAGATCCGTAGACTCTAATAATTTCTTGAAGGCCAGGTTTGAATGCGATTCCTTCACACAAAGATCAATGCCCTCCAACTTTTTGCTGCCGTGCAACACCCTCCCTGCTCTGACTGAACGTCGTCGTGGCCAAGGAGCAGCATTGAGAGACCATGGATACAAATCGAGCGAAGATGCAATCGGCTCTCCATCATGGTCTATGAATAATGTGCAAGCGTTCCGATGCGCATTCAATTCAGAAAGAATTGCAAGGCTATCGAAATTGTTCTTTTCCATGTTTCCGAGCTTCCAACAGCATCTAGTCTGCGATCAGGGTTCAGGAATCTTAAAATCTGATGAAGTGCACGCGAGATAACAAACTCCAACAAATTTCGAAGTCAATCCACTTGCTTGAGAGCAAGATTTTTCGCGAAGCACGTCAAATCACAAGATATCAAACAAGCTTGGCGTGTTCAGGCAATTCAAGTGTACAAAAGAGGTTGAGAGTAACGGATCAGATGACAATAACGAAGTTAGCAAAAGATCTCTTATTAAAGTGTTAAATCAACACAAATATATTCAGAGAATTAAGTCAGCATAAAATGGGACTCCGCACGAGTTTTGAGGGTCGTGAGGTTACTATGTCAGTGAAGAACAAGGGCTCAGACATGCGCCAACTTGTCAAGTTGAAGAAAAGCAGCCATCAGGGCATGCATTCTCCTCGCGCCGCCCTGGCTACGTACATCGCTACATCTCTTCCCGAGTCCCCCGATCCACCCGCTCCGCAGCTACAAACCAATCGTCTACGTTCTTCAATGCCCCTCTATTGAAATATGGTGTCCTCCTCCTCTTATTAGATATATCTCTGAGGCGGAGTTTTTTCGGTCCGGGCTTTGCCTGGCCTGGTCACACCGGCTGTTCGACCCGGCATGCAGGAATCACTGCCGCAGCCCGCCAATAGTGAAAAGAGTCCGCACATGTATTGATATTAGGATAACAGGAAGGCAGCAATCAAACATAGACAGTCCACGGCTCCCGAAAAGAGGTTCCTGTCCTGCTCCTTTTTTTGGCCTCAAGGGGTGGGGGTTTGATGACAGGAATAGGGTGGGATGACAGACACCGGTCCTGATACGTTACACCGTGAAGGGGGTTCCTACCACACCCCCAAAATCTCCTGCGAGGTGTACTACGGGTGATGGGAGATTTTGGGGAATAGAACGGGTTTTACCGATATCCGTCCCTACTCCGTGGTCTAAAGGGGTGGGTCATAAATTTTTGGATTGGTTCTACGATGGTAGGGTAGCAATCATATGGTTGGGTGGGCTAGGGTTCCGGGGGAAACCCACAGCCGGGTGGGGTGGGACATGGGACCAAGGGGTACGCAACTCCCCTGTTGGGGGAAGGGGTTAAAAAGGCTCCAAAAGTACCGGGTAGTTACAGATGAAAGTATCATCATTTCATGGGGTAGTGACACGATTGGTAGGTGGTTTAAACCGACAGTCCGTGACGGGGTGGGGAACGAAAAGTCATGAAACACAAATAACGGATTTGTGTTTGTAACGGAAGAAAGATATGAATATTTTGAGAATACGTCACCTTGAAAAGTTGAATATTTCAGCAAGAATATGAAGTATGTTCATTCTCTTTGAAAATAGAAGACCGTGACGTACCGGCACTTCTGTCCCTCTCCGCACCGGTCCTGGCCGTCAGGAAATCGGATATATACAAGACTTTGTACTGCATTCTCACAGAACACGTACAAATGCTGATACAAATATGACGTGGTAGTAAGTGTACCTTTCGATCGAAAATGTGTATATAAATTTGGTACAAAAATAAAGCCATGGAAGAATAGGGCAGGCGCTTTGCTGGTAATGTTTGAAATCTTTGTACAAAAGTACTACGTTTTAAGCGCTAAAACGGTCCCAATAAATATTTTGGAAATTTCAAAAACAATTTTACTTCTACACCCCTCCGGTCGGATATCTGTACGGGGGTACCTTATTTCGATATTATATTGTTTTTAAAAACACCCCACCCCCAGCCGTTACGCGCGTGCATCACACCGGTATCACCTGATACAAACTGTGGTACCTTTCGGAGGAAGAGATGTACCAAATTTACTATTTGTCGGAAAGTTGTACAGTTGGTTTCTACATAGCTTAATATGTACTGAAAACAAGAAACACAGTACTAACTTTGTGGTATTATTTAACTACCAGGAGACCATTTTGGTCCTAGAGAGTCTTTGTAGAGAGGTTCTAGGAACACTACCCTGAGTTGGGATTATCTCCCTGCAATGAAATTCGGTGGTGGGGGTGGTTACCCCCTACCCCCTTCTCCCGCATCTTCTTCTTCATGGTCAAACGCCGCAGTCCAGGAGGAACAGAATCGGAGGCGGGCCAACCCTTTATTCCATATTGAGTTGGCTTGTCTGGTCTGAGAATATGTTCAGACCAGACTATACGGCGTGTATTCCAGTACAAATTCAAATTCTATCTGTACCTGCGTTTGAATTCTCTCGGAGGATGGGAGGGGTACTGCTACGCCAACTTTTTTTGAAAAGGTGATTCTATCTTCAGGGTGGGTGGAAACGATAGCCTTGCACCGGTGGAGGAAAGTACCCCTTGGGCAGTTAGGGGTGGTCAGAGGGAACACCCCCCTACCCCCCATTGGGCCCTTGTTTGGCTCGGTTTCTGTCCTCTGGGGGTCATCCGCCTCCCGCCAACCCGCCTGCCTGCTCGCATGCACTCGGCTACCCTCTGTCACTTGTTTCTTGCTTTCCTCTCTTGTTTTTGTGTTGTTTCCATGTGTTCTGATGTATTCATTGTATGAATGTCGTTTTTGTCCTGATTCGAGATCAATTTTCAATCGTTCTCGTCTTGTAATTTGCATCACCACATTGCGCCCTGAACATTCTGGTCAATTTGTGTGGTCTGAGGTCGTGCGATTCTGCTATAGTCTCTTGATTACACCCGCTCTCTCTTCTGCTATTGATACCAGGCTGCTTATTTCCTGTTTGCCACGCTGAGATCGCCGAAATCCAGATGTCTTTGCCGTGGAAATGCGAATTTCATCATCCTCTTCATACCCACTTGATCTTGATGCGATTTGATTTCTATGTTTGTTGCAATGCTTTGATTTTGTTCGATTCCCCTCCTAACAAATTTCTGACTTTTCTGTCGTAGTTTTTGGCTACTCAAATACACATAGATCCAATCAAATCTCGTTTATAATTTTCTCAAGAACAACCACTCAAAATGGATATGAGCGGTGATGTGCCCCTGGGCGGAGACATGGTCCAGCTTACTTGCAAGATTGTTGATCCGGAAATGAACGGAGGTCTTCGCTACAAGGCATGGACTCACCATCGTGAGTCTGTCCTTCAGCGTCTTGGTGCTTGGCAACTCGTGGCATCTGGACCGGACTTTGCCACTTTCAACGTCCCGCGTGCGATTGTGGAGGCTGCTGCCACGGAGCGCCAGGCCAAAATTCCCAAGGAAGAGCGCCGCTATTGGGGAGATCGATCTGATTTCTGCCGCTGCCTCGAGACTGTCTTGAATGAGCAAGAGCCAAAGCCACACAGCGCCCCTGCGCCTTCGTCCTACCTCCTTTTCTGCCAGGACAAGCGCCAGGAACACAAGGAGACTGGAAACACGGCCCCCCTCGACGTCAAGGAACTTGGTGCCATGTGGCGTGCTCTGAGCGATGAAGAGCGTAAGCCTTGGGTTGACAAGGCTGAGCAGCTCAAGGCCTCCGGCGCTACTCTTGGCATCACTGGCCGCAAGCGCTCTAAGGCTAAGGGATCCGGCCTGGGTACTACCACTCCTATTCAGCCCCTCCCACCTGCAGTCCAGGCTTGCTGCAGCGAAAATGGTTTGGACGACGTAGATGTTCTCATCAGACTGGTCGAGTCCAAGCAGCCCATGGAGTTGATGACCTACGAGCGACGCCTCCGTGTCATCATGAACCGTCTCCACGAGCTTCAGTTCCAGATTGCCACCTCCCTCCCTGCCAAGAAGCGCCACAAGCCTTCCCACCAGCAGATGAACCAGCACATGGCTCACATGAACCAGGTACTTGTTACCGTTGCGAAGTCGTGAACCTGACTTTTCTACAGCAGCAAATGCTTCATCAGATGCGAACCTTCGGAAATTAAAGTGTGCTCCTTTTTTGGTTAACAGATGATCTTCCTTCGGAGATCGTGCAAGATGAAGGGAAAGTGCAAATTAATATTACAGACCATATCTACTTGGGTCTGCTATCTGAAGATAATGCTGCTGTTTCAAAGACAAGCTGTCAGCAAGAGTGTTGATTTCTTTTCTCTCGTGTCGCTCTTGCTGAGTTGACAGCTTTGGTGATGTGCTCTAAATAAATACTTGATTAACTACGCTTCCTTTTCACATACGCCTTCGAAAATTGCGAGAGGGAGTAAGAGGTAAAGGAATCAAAAGAGGGAAAGATGAAGCAACAAATCAAAGCAGTGAAGGACAGCAAGGATCGACAACCTCAAACAGGAGTTGGTCCTCCATCTGCCTTGGCTCCCAGATCAGCGATCGTAGCTGAATGGACCCACGTCTACTTCCTCGAATTCACAGGGAATAAGGAGGTAGGGTGGTGCGGAACGGGGGCCTCAGAATGCAGAGACCGGTCGCGTTGGTGGCGCTGCTGGTAGTGTCATCAGGTTATGACTTCGATGAATCATGCTCGTTGGATGTGCTCATGTGAACTTCCCGCACCTGCTTGGCCTTGGATGTTGATGTTGCCGTCTCAAGCCCTTCCTCCTGCTCCCTGATGACTTCTGTGTGCGGGATCCCGCGCGATCTCAGAGGTCTGAACTGCAGTCTGCAGGGGAAGCATCGAGTTCCTTTCACAGCACAGCAAGAATCATATCGAAAACGTCGTTCTCGATCCCGACGTTGAGGGCTCTGAGAGGAGGGAGCAATGTGAGTGTGGGACGCCTTCAATGCTCGCACCGATATAACTTTGCAGGTCGATGAACCCATAAGGCATGATGAGCATACGGTCACATTCAAGAGAAGAGCGCATCTCAACGATAACGAACACCTGTACATTGTTGGAGACTGCAAAGCAATGGGAGACAGCGACATGTCTTGTGCGATCAAGATGAAATTTGATGAGTCCAGCAATGAGTGGGTGACACAGGTTGTACATACTCATATCATGCAGTAGCTCACCCTCGATCGGACAGATCGACTCAGTGCCAGCCAACACTCAGTACAGATATTTTGCTGCGGACCCGAACCATGTTGAGAGTAGCGCTCGGCACATGACGAGCTACTGGTACCTGGTCCGCGTTCCGGATGCTAGCCAGAAGGAGGTGGTATCGGACGACTGTACTCAGCTCATCCGGTTTCAAGTCTACAAGGGTTCCCTGCCTCCTCCTCCTCCTCAGGAGCCCCCTCACAGAACTTGCTAGGGGCCCAGGATGTCCGAGTTTGCGGCTCGATCAAGGAGTTGGGGCACTGGAAAGCGGACCAGGCACTTCGTCTTGATAAGAAGGGAGACACAAAATGGGAGGTGGGCTCTTTGCGTGCAATTTGAATATGAGGATGAGGATGAGGATGTAAATGGTAGAGCTGATGACGATGACGACTTGGAAACACAGATGGAGTTGATGACGATGATTACAGGCAGTGGTTCCCATACCCTCCGAGTCTCTTTTCGACTTTCAATACAAGTGACTTATATCATGCTCTGATTAACTTGTCACGACCCTGGTAGGTATGTCGCAGACGGTGTCTTTGAAGATGGCGGCAACAGAATCTCTGATGTTTCCGACGTGGAGCCTCAGCCTGAAGGAAACCGGTATCATGTGCTGGGAATCTGATCGGGCCTCATCGACTGCCTCAGTTGTGTCTCGAACCTGCAAGCTGTCTTCAACGGCCTGCTGGTCAGATTTCTGATCTTTCATCCAATCGGTGTGAACGAGAGAATGGTCATCACCGGAGGACATCCCGTACCTTGACCGCTCTCCTTGCCTGCGCGCTCATGTCCTGCAGGCTTTCGGAAACTGGAACCCGGTGAACCAATGGTGTCGTATGGGTCTAGGGAACGAGCGGACGCTGCTGACGGGTATAGCAAGGATACTGCTGGCAAGGTGAGAGGCTCAACCATGGGGCGCAGGTGTCCGAGGGAGATGCTGGGAAGCGACGTTTCCTGCTCCTCCAGAGGATTACCGAGAAGTTGAGGTAGGAGACGCCTTGATGCCCTTCACTGAGAGTAAGCTCCTTGTGTGCAGTACAGGTACGTCATCCTCAATGAAGAGCAGAACCAGGCAGTGTGGGAGAGCGAGCCGAATCGCCGAATTTCCTTCTTTCCGGGTTATGTGCAGAAAGAGGACGCAATAGGATGCTCTTGACAGAGAGACAGGTGCCGTCTCTCAGAGCGGCAAGAACGGGGGATTTCGACGTCGAGAATTCACACAGTTCGACGGGAACTTGTCGGCCTTGGATGGACGAATGTCTCACGTCTGCTGACATGCGCTGCAGCGTTGCAAAGGAGCTTCTCTTCGACTTCATCCCTCCCTGCTTGTTCATTGGTGACCTGCTGTGACATGACAGCTCTCCGGCTGATGTTGCTGTCGTTGTTTCTCAGGTCCGTACCCACAATGTAAAGATGACGTCGAGGTACCTCGTGAGCTGCTGTCCCTTGCGGACTCTGAATGCTCTCAGCGCATGAAGGCAGCGGGGGTGACGGGAGTTGTCAACGTTCAGACACAGAAAGACATCATGCAGCGGATGGTAGACGAAACGATCACAGCATATGGAGTTGCCTGACACTTCTCAGGTAAATATGGACTTGATGCGAGGCTTGTACCATGAACAAGGTGGAAATCTCCTAGTCTTTCAGCTTATGAACCTTTTCTCGCAGGCATTGAGTTTCGACATGTTCCTATCGAAGACTTCAATGGCGTACGTGCTGCAAACTTGCGTTGATGGTTTGTAAGAATTTGGTGGAACAGCAAGACTTGGCAGAACGTGTCAAGTTTGCTGCCAAGGCCACACATGAGCTTGTCGAGCTTGCAAAGTCGAGGGGGCAGGAGCCTCGGGTGAGAATGTTGGCTAACAGGAGGTTGCAAGACTCACGTTGACGGCAAGGTCTACATCCACTGCACGGCCGGGATGGGACGAGCACCAGCGACAGCTTGCGTCTACCTAGTATGGAAGTGAGTGCTGACTAGTTCTCCGACAAGTTTGAAGTAGGACACAGGCACGGCCATGACCTCGACTCGGCAAGAGCGCATGTCAAGAAGCATCGCCCCATCGTCGCTCCTAACTACAACGCCATGAAGCTTGTAGCCGTTAGCTCCTCTCTGAGCCATTCTCTGACGTCTGTCTAGGCCTTGCAGCGTGGACTTGACTGACTCCGAACCGTTCGACTAGTCACAGTAGATGACAGTCGCCTCACCGAGTCAGCCGGGCCCCGGCCGGGCAGGGCGGCGCCTCACTACTGTCCCGCCGCGGGCTTTGAGCCGGGCTGTACGGTACGGAGGCTCCGTAGCCAGGCTCAGGCTAGTAACTGAGTAGTTGCCGTTACTGATCTGGAGCCGGACAACCGTACGGTAGACAGCGGAACTTTGAAACTTTAGGCCCCTGTACAAGATTTGAATGAAAGTTTGATCTTTTCTTCCGCCGATCGGCTGGTCCCGAAGCCCCGAGGGTTTCTACCAGCCATGGAGGAAGAGACGCGGGCGACTTGCAATGAGCTCGTGGGACACGGCGAGCGAGTCATGTGCAGGCAACGACATGCTGAGAAGTGAGGAAGAGCGTTGATGAGGTAGATTGGTAGGAGAGGGCAAGGGGAGGAGCAGCTTCATCATGCAGCGGGGAGCGCATGCTTATGGTATCTTCTCATCGCGCCAGAACCCCACGATCACGTCAAGAACTTCAGCAGCTTACGGGGACCATGAGAGCGAGGCCTTGTACGGCGTCGGAGCTGCTGTCTCTCAGAGCGAAGGCAAGACCTTTCGAGTCAATGCTCTCAAGAGCGGAGGCCCCGCGGAGAGCGCTGGGCTCCTGAGGAATGATCAGATCGTGACGGTCGACGGCAAGCGACCACCAGACCTGAGCGCTCTGAGGAGCATGCTACTGGGACAGAAGGGAACCCGAGTCGTCATCGGTGTCAGGCGACCAGGAGTGCAGCATGTCATCTCTATCGAGATCACGAGGGGCGATCGAAACACTACATTGTCTCCTCTCGTTGGGATCGGCATGGGCTTCCGGCCCTTGTCCAGTGGCGGCTACTTGGTCACGAACATCGTGCCAGGAAGCGCAGCTGACAGAGCAGGCATCAAGCACAACGACGTGATATGCATCTGCAACGGGGTGCTGCTGGTCAACAAGCCCACCAACTTCCTGTCAGAGACTCTGAGCTCCAACGCTGCGGAGAGTTTCACGTTGGGGATCAAGAGAGGGGAGGGTCTCAAGACTCTGACCGTCACTGTCATCAACTCGCCGCTCATGGAAGCAAGCCCTGAGCTCGCTGCCGACTCGGGTGTAAGAACCATCGAGCTGCGGGAGACGCAGGGAAGCTATTCGGCCAACTTCTACACGGATGCCGGGGGGTCAGTGTATGACTCGGACAGGTCAGACAGCAAGCTGACGGCAGCGAGCTCCACCTCCTATCGCAGCGGGTTCTACTCGGACAGCAGCAGAGACGCGTCGGACTACAGCAGTGACGACAGCAGAGGACAGTCGTCCCCTCGTTTGATGTTCACCAAGACATCCATCCAGCAGGACGGGGGAATGATATTCTCGAGCAGGAGCCAGACTCTTCCTCCTCGCACTCGCTCCAAGCGCTTCCAAACCGCCAGCTCGCTGGGTTCTGGACCCGAGCTGCCGACGGCGACGAGGAAAGAGAGAGAAGAAGCGTACAACAACAATGATGCTCCGAGTGACCCGATCGCTCATGTCGCTCCGTCCGAGGCAGCAGCAGCAGCAGCAGGAGATGAGAGACGCCGGTACTCGCCTGATGAGCTAACGCATTTCCAAACCAAAGTGATGAACAAGATCCACGCGCTTGAGGTGCTGTACGAGGACTTGAAGATAGCGCGAGAGAGGCTGAAAGACGACCTGCACACTGAGAGCGTCGAGAAGCTGCAGCGACTGATCCATACTTACGACGACCTTGTACGGAGTGAGCATCACCGGCAGGAGGCTGAGAGAGCCCGAGAAGAAGGCGAAGTTCGTCGAGAACGAGAAATGACTTATGTCAAAGATTTCATCCACAAGATGGCGGATCAGATTGATCTTGTCTTGGACAACCAAACAAGAATGGAACACATGCTGACCGAACATGACTCGAAGATGGCAAGCTTCGAGGACAGTCTGGTGCGGCTGAAACAGGAGCAAGACGGGCTGATAGAGGGGCTAGAGGAGATGCAGCTTAAGATCAAGTCATCGGTCACTATGGTGGAAGAGAACATGTTGCAGCGAGAGCAGCAGATTTATCAAAAGCTCAACGAGTCGAGGATAGAGATCGTCTCCTCGTTTCATGCCGACCCCTCCAAGGTGACAGATTCGCCATCATCGCTCGACTCAGAGCTCAAAGCCAACGGCGGCACCCCCTACACCCCTCGCAAGTCATCGCAAGGCAAGGAAACCTTGTACAGCCCGCGAGAGAAGAGAGGAAAGTCTGCAGACCATGGGGAGACGATAGTCTCGTACGCTGGGTTCTATCCTGTCTTGTATGCTCAGAAGTGTGTCTTCTCAGACGTGGCTCCTCCCAATATGAGATGTACGAGAATCTTTCTTGACGACAGGATGGTCATCTTTCAAAAGAACAAGGATGGGGTGCATGACCTCCAGTATGCGATAGTTGTACATCTAGTCAGCCAGAAGATCTGGGCATACAAGATCATGGGGGGGATAGCGCAGAGGAATCGGACCTTATTCCAGGTGGTGGGGGAGGACATCTGCGTCTTCGTTCACGATGACAGCGGAAAAATTGACCTCAAGAAGCTCTTCGTGCTCAAGTTTGCGAACGACGATAGGATGTTCCTTCAATCAGTCCACATCGACCCGTCCATCCCGTCTCGGACGCTATGCCACATCGAAGCCGTCGGTCGCAGTTGTGTCTTGTTTGCACATGACGTCGATCGCAAGTTTGATCTCCGCAAGTGAGAAAGGATGAGAGGTGACTGTGCTTGTCTGCCCCTGAGCTTGCCGCAGCATCTTCGTGCTCGATACCGAGATGCTCACTCTGAGAAACTGTTCTGAGATCATGAACCTCAACCCCGAGCAAAAGGAGCTTGTAAGGAGCTCCTCTCGCTGAAGACTCGTGTGCTCTTCTCACCTCCTGCAGGCCTTCCACGGCATCTCGTGTACGGTCGTTGGGTTCAAACTTGTCCTGGTGCTTCAGACCGTCAGCTCTCTTGACCTCAGCCAGGTCTGGATAGTCGACACCAACCTCGGAATGATCTCGACCCCGGTCACCTTGAGTGAGCCCTGCAGCAGCTCCAGCAGCGTGCGGGCGCTGGTCAAGGTGACGTGGGAGGTTGCTGTGGCATCGCTCAGTCGCTCCAGCAGGCGATGAAGCACTCAGTTTACTTGTTCGTCGAGGAGGAGGAGCAGAAGATCGACTTCGAGCAGACGATGATGATCGACATGGGTCAGCGCACGAGCTCCTGCATGACTGAGACTGAGATGGCAGCAGAGTCAGCAAGCATCAAGAAGGTCGAGATGGAAGGAAGCTTCCCGGAGCGATGGAAAGGAAAGTTTCACATCCTTGACGAGAAGCACCTGCTGGTAGATCAAGTTGCTTGCCAACGCTCCTCATGCCTTGTCAGACGATCCGCGTCAAGGACGATGGGGCCATGGACTTCACGGAGGTAGAGGAGCATGGCAGCGGCTCTCATGCACCCATGAGACATGCTGCAGATGCTGCTGCTCGATGCTAGCGACCCTCTCAAGCTCAAAGTTTCTCCTCTCACGCTGCCTCTGCCTGGCATCCCCTGGGAGGTCTGTTCTCCTCTGTTCAAACATGCCCTCCTTCCTTGCCCCCTGCTGAACTTCGTAACTTCTTCCCTCTGTGTTGATGTGCTTTGAGGTCTATCAGTGACTGATCATGTTGAAAGAACGTCAGGCTCTCAGTGTTTGAAGAGAAACTCCTTGCAACCTCCTCTTCGAGCAAATTCAGAAGGTGGCGAATTTCTCTATCCTTCCATCCACTCCCTTCCCCTCCCCTCCCCCTTTTTCTCTTCGTCCCTTCTATCTCCTTCCCTCCTCTCGCCTCCCCTCCCCTCCTCTCCCCTCCCCTCCTCTCCCCTCCCCTCCTGTCCTGTGTCCTGTCCTGTCCTCTCCCGTCCCCTCCTCACTTCTCGCTGATCTCAATCAGGCTGGTCGGTGTGATCTCTCCCTTGCAAAACGTCGTCAAGATGTTCTGCCTGGACGTGAGGAACCCGGTGAGGTCGGTGGGCGATGGCAGGACGTGCTGACGTGGCGCTGGCAGAACGTCTCCTTCGACGTTGCCAGTCAAGACAAGTACCTGGTCGTGCTCCCCCGGGACTCCAACGGGAAACTGTGAGAGAGGTGACATGGAGGGAGAGATCTGACGTACGGTTAGGATTGTTGGAGATGTTTCTATCATCGACATGAAACAAGTCTTTGACACCAACTCGACTTCTTGAGATCGTCTTCAATAAAGTGAGATGCGAAGAGGGAATATTTACATTATGGACACTGATGGCGGGAAAAACTTGATTCTATCATGCTGCATCAAACGGTCTTGGGGTCGACCTGCCCGTTGGAAGCTTCTCTCGCATGTCCTGAGGTCAGTCAGAGGGCAGGAGCAGGAGGTCACACGTCCTCCTCGTTCACCTTGAGACTGACTGTCCCGGTCATGGAGGAGGCGGCCTTGTCTGCCAGCACCGGTCAGTCTGAGGAGGAACATCGACTTTCTCTCGTACGTCTCGTCCTCTCCCGCTGGGTCCTCGGAGTTGATCATCTGCGCATGTAAAGAGTGAGCAGTCTGAGCCCGAGGGCCAGCAAGCGGCGAGCTCACCGTCTCGCTCCTCTCGCTCATCCCCTCCCCCTCTTCGAGATCGAAGGACTCCAGACTCTCCTCGTCCTCTTCGTGCACCTGCCGAGCTGCTTCAGGGGGCAGAGACAGAGGAGAAGAAACAACTTCCTGTCCTCGGTCATCACCGCTGCGCTCTGCAGCTTGAGGAAGAGAGTTCGGCTCTCAGCCTCCCCGCCCGGTCCCTCCTCCTCAACTACTACCGGAGGGTCCAGGCGCACGTGCGCGTAGCTGCCAGGGGAGGTCAAAGAGCGCACAGGAGGGACAAGAGACAATCTCACGCGACATCATCGTCATCCAATACAAATTTCAGCGCTGCTTCCTCTGTCTCCCCTTGAGAAAATTGTCAGTAACTCCCTGCCCTCCTCTCTCCTCCACATACCTGGCCAGTTGGAGGTAGAAGCGAAGACAGTAGGCAGGACCCCATGGCTGTACCAGGAGGTCACCAACAGCCACCTCCTCTCCTCACAACCTCCCGGACAATCTTCTCAGTCCCACTTTCAACGCTTCATCGTCGGCCGGCGCCTTTCACGACATTTCATGGTGGCGCGCAGCTTTCGGGGAACGAACCTTGATGAGGTAGCAGTTGGTCCGATGGAGGAAGACGTCGTCTCTAAGTCCGTATGATCTTCTCGTCCCCGTCAGCTGACAGCACAGCATGCGTCACCCACCGACAAGACCCTCCTCCTGCCACCTACCCGGATAACCATTGTCCGACTGCACCCCCCCTCCTTGCCAGCTGCGCCGCCCTCGTCTCCGAAGCCTGGCAGGCCTTCGGTTCCTGGCTGAGCTCAGCGAGAGGAGGAGGAAGCGAGTGTATCGCACCGAAAGGGAAGTTGAAGAAGCTGGGATGGATGAGGGGTGACTGAGCCAGGGGTGACTGAGCCTTTGATGACGTGGAGCCGTCACAAGGAGGCGAAGGGCAGACGCGTCCTTCGCCCTCGCAGCATCTCGCCGTGTATGTCCCGTGACCTGTGGCAGTCTTGTCAATGTCTGCTCCTCCTCAGCTCGTCAAGCATCGGAGAGCAGCAAAGACGCAAAGGCGAGACAGCCAATCTCGTATCCCACTCAACATCAAAGGGCATGCGTCCCATGAACGAGCTTTCTCAAATGGCAGGATCTCACATGGCAGGATCAGAAGGCGAGAGAGGTTTTCTGCTCACCATTGGATGTGGAGCAATGGCTCTCGTGCTCAAATGGAGAAGATCCCTGGACTTGCATGCAGACGTGCTCACAGCTGGCAACGTCGGGGCAACGCCCTGCTCCCGCCGCTGCTCTCAAAGTGACCAGCATCTGGAGTGAGAGGAGGAGCCATGGGAGCATGCTAGTCTTGTGCATGATATATGCTCGTCGCGTCCTCTTTTTCTCGCTCTTGCCTCCCCCCGCCCCTCCTCCTCCTGTACGTCCTTCCTCAAGCATCTTTGTTTGGCCTGGATAGTTCGGAGAAGGCGGAGGAAGGTGGTAGGGTACTCTTAGTGAATGGAGGGAATAAAGAGGGTGAATAGAAATGGAATAAGGGGTAGGGGGTACACCAGCAGGGAGGTGGGGTTTAGGACGGCACGGTGGCACTGCCGCAGGTTCGGCGCCCGGCGTCCGGCCGGCCGGGCCCCGGCGGCCCAAGGCGGCAAGCCGACTCCCGACTCGGTCCGGCCGGGCGAAGTTTCGAGCCGCGCCGTCGGAGGCCGGGCTCGGAGCTTGGGCCCGCCGTTGGACTGAGGCTCAGTGATGATGCGTCCCAGCCGGCCCCGTACTCACCGTGGCACTGCAGGCTGACTCGCCGTCAGGCTCGGGCCGTGACCCGGCGGCGCCGCACTGCTGAGCCCGCGGCCCCGGCCGGGGCCGGCGGAACTTGGAACTCGAACTTCATACTCCGGATTCTCGGACTCCCGGGGGCCGCCGCCGCGGCCGCCCGGGGGCCGGCGTGTAAGCGCCGGGCCCGGGCGGTCGCACGGGCCCCGCCGGGCCGGCCGCGGCGCCGGGTGGCGAGATCGGATCAGTAGTGCCGCTACTAGGCTAATGATGCATACTGACTCGATGATTTACAGAGACATGCGGACTCCCGAGTCTGGCAAAGGACATTCGGGCCGCACTGCACAACTTGGCAACAATCATTTGAATACTGAAAGTGAAAATGCTTGACTTCGTCATACAGTATGTCTAGATCGGTGATCCAACCCCGGGCATTGAGATTTCAGCCAAGTTCAAAGTATGACTGCAACCTGGTCGATGGTACGAAACGAGGCGATCAATGGCATTCAGTTTACAGTGACTGATGATTCGTGAAATGGGCACTCGTCCGATCCATTGAGAGGAGATCTGCGCGCTAGACGGTGCAGGCAGTGGCTTCAAGCGCTGGATTGCTGACACCGATGTAGAAAGGGTGGAAACTGAGCAAGGAGACGGTCATTGAATTCCTGAGATTGCCCAAGTTGACGATCCAGCTTGCGTTCAAGGTCTTCCTGACGCTGCTGGGCATCCTTGCGGGCATCTGCATTCTGTTGCAGGAGTAAAGCAAAAAGTCAACGAAGAGATGCTTCTTTGTCGCTGGTGGTAGGAGAGTTTCGACCCGAAGACATCGCAGAGATGGGCTCTGCGACAGGGGTGCGCGAAGCAAATGCACCAGAGGCTGAATCACGTGAAGCATGTGGAGCTGGAGACTCCTTAGCGAAGACAGACGGTGCTGGTACAGGCGCAAAACAACATGGGCGAGCACAAGAAGCTGAATGGGAATCCTGCTGTGGTCGATCTTGCATGCCATGATTGTATCATCATCTCTCGTTACGGAAAAAGGACGGGGAAATTGGAATTGTTCAGCTCCAACATTTCATTGGATTGAAGTTGGAACAGAAATTTGTTCCGTAGATCTCGAAATCCTTCTTTCACTGGTCAGAGCCTTACACAATCTGTATACAAGAGGTTGAGACTATCGAAAGGTAGCGCGACATTGCTAGTTTTAAATCATTCTGATGTGCAATGACAGGCCCGGGCGAATGATTGAAACACAGAGGGTTACAACACATTACAACGATGGTTTCCTGTAGGGAAGTGGTCAAACTACGAGCGAATATTCATCCCAGTCCATATTTGGGGTACCTGAACAAGGACAGCACGGGAAAGATTGAAGGCATGCCGCAGTGCCGCGAGTTTGATGCGGTTGTAGAACCATGTATCAAGGTGATCAAGGAGAGACACGACAGAAAACAAAGTCGGCGACCTATCCTGATCGGTGAAAAAGATTTCTTGCGATATGAATGGCAGCAAAAGGGATTACAAGGAGGAAAGATCTGGCAGCAGGAATACGTTGCTTCCAACAAGATCAGTAGAGAAAATCCACATCCCTGATGATATTCACCAAGCTCCCTGGATACAGACCCCCCAACAAACTGATTCCGTGTCATGTGGCATATTTCTGTGCGCTATAGCTGACTGCTTGTCTGGTAACATGGGAGTGAATTCATTTGGCCAAGGAGACATCGACGAGATCCACAAGGCTATAGAAACTTTATTGAGAATCTTGTATTTATGTAAGAAGTGAACGCATGCGCAGTGTAGGCGACTGATACATTCAATATGAGCTCACATGGCAAAGGAGTGTTACAATGTGGATGGATGGACAATGACATTACAATGTCTATCGTGGCATTGCCTGTGACAGATACATCGAAGTTGCCATCACTACGTTTGCCATCGATTGCTGGAAGTTGACCCCATAACCTGCAATAGGAAAAATACTGCAGAAGATGATCTCATAAGGAGTAGTAGCACTGATCGGTAAAAGATGATGTCACAATGTAGACAACTGCAGAATGTCCCCCGGATTGTACACCCTTACACAAGTTTGCAACATTGCTGTCCATGGCGCCCCGATATGGGGGGATAGAGGGAGGGACAGGCATTCCCACAAAGTGATCAAGTACCCCTACAGGATGTGGTATTTAAGGCTTCCAGAAGGGGGTACTGTAGTCTGTCACCCGCCGCTAGAACGGGGTACGACGACCACCCCCATATACAACTCAATTTGTTACATACTAGAAGCACGAGGTGGGGGGTGGGCGTGGGGGTGGAATGAGAAGTGGTGGAGTCAATGCAGGGGGTAGTGCTAGGGAAGCTGTGGGGTCGAATACAAGAATACTTTTCTTTTAAAAATGTTGTTAAACATTATTGAGTCGTACCAGAAAGTACCCACCCTCTGTAGACAAAATATTGTTGTTTTGACCCGTTGTGATAGAGAGGAATATGCTTTAAAATTTATTGATTAGAAAACCTCTAACTTTATTAAAACTACCAGAAAAATAGTTATAACTGTTCTTGTAAGCTACAATAATTTTTTAAGTCCAGGACAGCAAGTATAAAAAGTAGTAGCCGTATAACCTTTTTTTAATTGTTACTCCTACAGCCCGACCCACTCTACACCTACTAAAGCTACCCCCACCCCCATCACTGTTCTAGACAGAAGCTCACCCCTTTAATCAACCCCCCCTGTCTCCTCCTCCACCACCCTACCTGCCACTACCCCTACCTCCTCAATTTCTCTATGCCTAATCTTGAGACTGCCACGTACCTCTATTCGCCACCCCTGACCCCTTACACTATCAAACTCACATTCCTTAATGCCACCGGTGTTTTCCCCTTGAAGTACCCTTGTTATCAAGAGCTGAAAACCCTCAGGTATCTTCTCCACCCCTGGCTCTCAATCCCAGTTCAGTGACTCATTGATTGTGAAACAACCCCTACCCACAAATACCACCCTTCCTGGATCTGTACCCCTCGATTCATATATGAATACCCCCTTGTTTCAGCCTATCACTCACCCTGTGAGCTAGGGTTTGAACTGATGCTTCTATAACCTGCCAACTAATTTATAAAGAACTCTGATAGTTCGGAGTGAATCAAACCTATAAAGATTTTATATGACCGTTTCTATTATTTCTGGCATGCTTCACCTGCCTGCTGCTGATGTGAATCAAAATGACCAAATCAGTTGGCGATGGACGCATTTCTTGTATATAAAACACTTTTATTGAGTTTAATTATATTGTTAATTGACAAACATCGATGCTTGTTTCACACATCGATACAACTCCTACTGTAAAAGTACTTATAAATTCTGAACTGCTACAGTTCTCGAGCGATTTCGGTACAAAATATATTTTGAGATCTGTACAGAGATTAGATATGTTGTTGTTATAATACCAATCTATTTTTGAAAATATATTTAAAACTTCATCGGATCCGAAAAGACAAGATTTCATCTTGCAATGTCTATGGACCCCCATGTTCTGCCTTCAAAGCGCATTCTTGGATGCTACCCTACCTGCCCCTCACCAAAATGTATACCCACCCTCATAATCAACTAGTTGTCATCCCCCTTGGGATGGTACCCCCAAATTAAACAATGAACCCCTCAATGAAGGATTAGACCGGACTTTTACCCTCAATACTCCACAGGAATTTGGGGTCATCATTACCCAATGTCATTTTATACCGGTACGTTCAGTCCAGTACCCACCATCTCATAATCCTGTTTATAACTCACCGGTCATAGCAACGATTTTGACCCACCCTTCTACGCAACCACTCTACCCCACCCCCACCCATTAGGGACCTACCTCTGAAGCATCCTCTCCTCCATGCAGGCGTGATCTCGTCGGCATCCAGCAGCTCCAACCCCCCCTCGTGCTCGCGCCCGGACACCTTCCGCTCCTCCCAGGCTGCTGGTCGGTCTTATCTTCACCAGCCCCTCTAGATCAATCGCCTTCTGATCTCTGAGGCCGTCAGGGTGCTTGCCGCGGAACTGCAGAGGATATTTCTTACACCTGCTCTGCAAAAGGGGATCCGTTGAAGTTCATTCCTTGTTTCCAATCGGCGACTTTGAGAAGGGATTTCAAGTCTTTGGGTGCTTGTATTGACACTGGCTGTTGCATGGTTTGCATTTGAGACAAATCTTCCTCCAGCATTCCCCCAAAGAATCAGAAATCGTCGAAGGCAGACAACTTGAACCTGGAATATATCACGTGAAGACATTGGATGAACTGATCTGGAAGTTGTTACAATGATGCAAGGATTAGAAACGGCTGGATACGACGATCATATGAACCTTCCTTGGGACTCCCTTCGGGAGCAAGATTGGGCCTCATTAGGGTGTGATCCTGGTGAGACGGATTTTGATGTTCTCACAAACCACGACATTTTTGGAAACCAATCATCTGCACCAATCGAAATTGATGGCGTTGACGGTGATATGAATTGCTCTGCGCTTCTGGGTTTTCAATGTAGTCCTGTTGCGGTTGATTCGTCTGTGGACTTCCTCTGGGAAAGTCTTGGAAATTCCAAGCAGGGTGCGCAGAATGCTTCTGCTCAGACTTCCAGTTCGAACACAAATGATCACCAAGCAAGCAACCAGGAGGGGTGGTTGTCCTTTGATCAGGACAACAATGGCGATCTCAAGGTGCATGAGGATCACAAGCACATTCTTCCTGCTTTGCCGTCTTCGCCCCTTACCTATGCACACTTCTCACATGGAATCGACGGTATGAGGGATGAATCTACAGCCAAAGATGGATTCTGTACAGGACATTTCTGCTGTGTAGCAATTGGTGATGGACGAGTGTCTCCACATACCAGTGATCAGGCTCGTTTCCTCTTGGAAAATTTGAAACGATCTGCCGGTAGGGATGAGCATGCGATTGTTCGTCTCAAGAACGAAGCGTCGATGGACTTGAAGATCTTGGTGTTCCCTTATGCGTCACCCGAATCCCTTGCATTGCGAGAATACATAGCATCCAACGTCAGCCAAATACCGGCTCCTTTCGTGCTCCTCTGCGGTGACTTGTCAACAGGAATGAAATCTTCATTCACTGATCATGTCTCCACCAATGTGAAGTCATACATCATCAAAGGGCTGGCAGAGTGCATGAGTGACAAGCGATGCAATGTCACCGCTTCAAAGTTGAAGGGTAACGAAGGTCCGAGGGCAGCTGTGAATCTCGTGGAGCCATTCGCTTCTACGTTTTTCAAAGACGTGATCGATGTTGACAGTCTACCTAATCATCAACCCACGGATGCTGAGGCTTCGACATCACACTTTGCCCCTAAGGTCTCCCCTCGTGCTGGGTTGCCTTACAACATGGGCTCTTCTACTCCGAGGAATTCGTCACCGGACGAGTCGGTTCCTTCGACCCCTCGAGCTGACGATGAGGTGCACGTCGAGGGTAAAGCAACAGCACACTTTCCGGTCAATCTGTTTGTGACAGCGATTGCGGATGGTTCGATTGAATCGGACACTCCTCAAAAAATCCGGGAGCGGCTTGCGCAAATTGTACGAAAAGTCCCAAAAGAGCAGAACACAAATGTGGAAGTTTGTGACGGCGGAACAATTGATTTGAAGATGCGAGTTTTTGTTGTCAACAGTGAAGATGCAAAGGCTGTAGGGGAATACATCAACAGTCATCTGAAACAGAACCCAGCTCCATTCGTTGTCCTTGCAAGACACCTTCCGATGGCGGTACTCTATGACCCAACTTTGCTTGATCTTTCCGATGCAAGCGTAGCTGATCGTTTGAGGAAGCAAGCAAAGACTCGAGCAGTGAAGGTTCTAAGGGAGGCAATCGCCAACAAATCCTTGGGGATAACGATGTCAATGATGCGAGGCCATGAGGGTGCTTTGATTCCTGCCGACAGATTGTATGATGCTCTGGGAACTCTGACGAAACCTGTGCAAGATGGTGACAACCCAGGCAAGTACATTATCTTCGAAGCCAGGAACAAGGCGGGAAGCGTACCGTGCTCTCCGAGAAAGAGACTGGCGAGTGAGGCTCTGGACAAACAACCCCTGTCAGGTGGGAGCATGCATCTTGGGATGCCTGGCAGTACGGCAGGCACGATGGGGCCTGAGAGTCGAATAGCAAACGACATGGTGTACAAACCTGTGAATCACCCGAAAATCATGTCCAATGGGAATAGGAAAGCCTCGATGGCCTCTGCTTCAGCAAGCTTCCTGCACCGCGACATGATTGTGAAAACTTTCAACAAGCGGGCAAGAAAGGAGGAATTCCCTTTTGACGGTGTATACGATCACGAATTTGTATGAACTATGTCAGGGAAGGAGAAGTAGCTACTTGGGGTAAGGGTCTGCTGATCGCATATCGGACGAGTTGTTCAAATCGACCAATTTGTAAAATCAAGTTTTTTCGAGTGATGTCCTAAAGTTATCTCTGTTGGCTCTGGTTCACTTATTGCAAGGTTCTGTGATTAAACGCCTGCGAAAGTATCTGCTGAGCAGAGGAATTTGCGCGCAAATCAATAAATGAGATGAAAAAGATGACTGCTCGCAAACTCTATCCAAATTCAACTCTCGTCTCATGCAGCATTCGCGCGAATATCGTTGATGGAGGTGACAGAAAACCCGGAGGTCCGTGCGAGGTAGACGGCGTCGAGGTCTTCCATCCTCCCTTCTCCGCTTGTGGGCGCAAGCTCTCCCATGCACGCCACAGTCTCCAGCCCTGCCGATCTTAAGAGGAGGAGGGAGGCCTGGAACTTGTCCACCTCTTCCACCTACACATGCGTCACTCGCTCTCCTCCGCTGCCTGCTCCTCACCTTCAAGGTATCCACATCGACTGGAACTGGTAGGATGTGTCCATCCAGCTCGAGAGTCTCAGCTGTCCCGTTGAGCAGGCCGTGAAGGGTTTGCAACCGAGAGTCAGCCGCCACCCCTTCTCAGCACGTCACCAATGGCAGCACGAGCAAAGAATCAGTACCGGAAGACTGCAGCAGCATGGTCGAGACTGCGTCTGTCAGCTTCAACTTCACCTGCCTCTCCTTGTCCAGCGGAGCCCAGAGCACCCCTGAGGTGTACCTCGACATGCTGGCAAGAGCGCTAGCGGACACAGTCTGAGCGCTTGCGAGGAGAAAGGCCCTCTGTTGGTCGATCATCACGATGAGCTTGCCGGCAGCCAAACTTGCTGCAGCCTCCTTGACAGAGGAGCTGCCGAAGGAGAGGCCGCTAGACGCTTCGCCGTCCTCCGTCAGGTCAAGCTTGAGAGAGTGGGACATCCTGGCCGCCTTTGTCCTGAGATATTTCACGTTGTAGGTGTTGGGCTCCACCAGCGAAGGTTTCGTCCTGTCGATCTTCACCCCCACGTCTGTCAGCTGCTGGATCTTGTAGGGGTTGTTGGTCACCAACTGCACTGACAGGATCCCCATGTCCTCGAGGATCGCAGGAACACAATCGTAGGACCTTTCATCGTCCTCGAACCCCAGATGCCTGTTAGCGTCCACCGTGTCCAGCCCGTTGTCTTGCAGCTGGTATGCAGCGATCTTGTTCGCCAGGCCGATGCCCCTCCCCTCCTGAGGCATGTAGATGATGGCTCCAGAGTTCTGGTTGATGTAGTTGAGTGCCATGTCCAACTGCTCCTTGCAGTCACACCTCTTCGAGCCCAGTACCTCCGACGTGAAGCACTGATCGTGTACCCGCACAACCACTCCCTCCTTCCCCCTCAAGTCCCCGCTCACCATCACCACCGGCTCCATCTCCGTCCACTCCAGCACCCGCTCGCCGTTCCTTGTAACTATCTTAGCTCCCCTGTACCTGTAGGAGCGCAGACGGAACATCCCGCGGTCAGTGGGCATGTGGCACTCAGCGATGAACTCAGTCTTGCCCTCGGGGTAGTACTGGTCCCCGAAGCTCTTCCCCTGGCTCGCGCGCATCGGCTCGATGGCCATGCGCAGCTTCAGGTGAGCCGCGTTGATCCGCGGGCTGGAGCTGCCGGACATTCCCACGGCAGTTGCGACATGGTCGTGGAAGGAGGAGCGATGGGGCGCAGGGGCTTGCGGACGAGCTTCCATGTCTACTGCTGGGAACGTGCAGGCGAAGCAAGCCGTGTCCTTGAGCCAGAGGGAGGAGATGAGGAGGAGCACCATGTAGAGCGACATGTTGAGCCAGCAGTGGGTAGAGAAGGGAGTGCGAGCTTTCTTGCGGCAGGCGCCTGTCTGTTTCCCCATAACCTTCCTCGCTTCTCCTCCTAGAGCTCAGGCAAGAAATCTTTGTGCCTGCATGTCATCGGGGGATCCTCGTGTCCTGCCCCCTGTCCGCTACCTGAACATCCCACAGTGAGCAACAAGAGCATCCGGTCGCCTCCTCTGACCGCTCTATCCAGGTGTCAATCTTGAGTGGGGAGCGAAGAGGCTGAGGAATCAGAGCGCAACCAGAGGCCCAAGACTGAACCCTGAAGGAACGGGTTAGCGAAGGAGACGGCAATCTGCGGACGGAGAGTCGATGGAACTTGGAGACATGGGGGAACCAAAAGGTGACTTAAGGGAGGTGGAGGGCACTGGGGCAGACAATGAAAGCAAGAGAAAAGAGAGAACAGTGATGAGAATGAGAAGGCAGACGAGGAGGAAGTTGTCGTAATCATCGTAATGTATGAGAAAAGAGATGATGATAACCATTACAACAGGGGGGAACTCATGTGATTTGAGCGAGCAGGATGGAAGATGTACGCAAGCAGAGAGAAAGACAGATGACCTCAGAAACAAAATATGATGAGGGAAAAAGAGCAAGAATCATGACCGGCAGGTCAAGCGACGAGGAGTTGGAGAGTGTTCACAAGCAAGAAATCAGAAAATCGTCAAGACAGAACTACGTTTGGTGAAGTAGCAAGCAAGTCCTGAGAGGGAGGATAAAAGGAGGAGCAGAAGCCGGAGGAGAAGGAGATGGTGAGCGAGAGGGAGATGGAGAGCAAGAGCAAGAGGGAGAGCAAGAGCAAGAGCAAGAGCAAGAGGGAGAGCAAGAGCCAAGAGCGAGAGCGAGAGCGAGAGCGAGAGCGAGAGCAAGAGGGAGAGCAAGAGCAAGAGGGAGAGGGAGAGCAAGAGCAAGAGGGAGAGCAAGAGCAAGAGGGAGAGGGAGAGCGAGAGCAAGAGGGAGAGCAAGAGCGAGAGCGAGAGCGAGAGCGAGAGCGAGAGCAAGAGCGAGAGCAAGAGCGAGAGCAAGAGCGAGAGCAAGAGCGAGAGCAAGAGCGAGAGGGAGAGCAAGAGCGAGAGGGAGAGCGCTTGCATGCAATGACTCGCAAACATCTAAAGGAGGCCGCACAGCCTGTGATTTAGCAAGCATGTATAACCATCTATAAACCATACCCGTTATACATGCTGCTAGAGCCTCGGGCTTGCCCGGCTCCCGGCTCCCGGTGCCTTGTAGTCACTCAGTGCCGGGGGATGAGATCGAGTCCGCCTCGCTATCAATTATTAGGAAAAGATGAGGTCATCTGAATTGTGATACGGAGAAGCAGTCAAGTGGAAAGGCCCGGGGACATGGCGCGGCCTTTCGAGGGACGATCAATGGCAGGCAGCGACGAGGAACGAGGGGAGAGGAGGAGACAATGGGAACAGTAGCATGCTGGTGTTGTCATGAAGACTGACTGACAGCATCCATAGCTAGATCGCAATCTTCGTCTTCTGACTGCAAAGGGGAGTTCATAGCCTCACAAAGTGGGACCAAAGGAGAGATTGAGGAGTTGGAACTCGGCGTGTAGGAGAGGCCACAAAGAGGGGAAGGAGGAACAGCACGATCTACAGGAAGCAGTATCTGTGACATCGATCGGCTCGTATCGTTCTTTCCTTCACTGGCTCTTTTCACCATCAATCGTTACTGCGGTGCTGACGTGGGCACTTGAAACCGGCTGACCGCAACAAGAACAGACAGAACAGTGAGTCTTTCACCTGCATTCCCTGACTGCGTGCTGTTGCTGCATCTCTTCCTCTGACCTCGGGGCAGGAAGGAGATGATTACGAGCCTGTGCGAGTGTCGCTCCAAGGACTTGGACCCCGAGGTTGTCCTCGCTCTTGACCGCCTTCATGCCTGATGTGCGTCCGCAGCTCCGGTGCATCCTCTGCGGCGAGAACAAGTGCAGCGGCTGCTCCGCGCTTCTGCAGAAGAGCTACGTCCTCGACAAATCAGAGCAGAGGCAAGCGCGAGGGACCATGAACGGCAAGGGAGAGGAGAACCCTGGGATCGAGGAGGGGCATCATCAGATAGTGAACGAGATCTCCTACAAGAAAGACTCGTGCTACTACTCTCAGGATTCGGAGATGGCCGGATGGGACAAAGTAGAGCAAACCAAGGCCTCCAAACCCGCAAAGAACAGGAGGGACCCTCTTCTTCAGGTACAAGCCCAGACCCTCCCAGCTCTGCTCAGCTACCGGTAGCAGGAGTTTGACTTCTTCTTCCCAGGTTTGGTTCCGGGAGCCTGTGACGCACAGAAGTGCAGACTCGACGCTCCTGGTCCCCAAGGAGTTTACTCTCTACGAGTTCATGATACAGTGGGGAGATCGTCGGTGGATTGTAAAGAGGAGGTGAGAACAACGCTTCCGTTTCTCGCTACCATGCCTTGACTTGATGCCTTTTAAGGTTCAGGGAGTTTGTTGCACTAGATGCTGCTCTCGATGCAAGTTTGCCTGAAGAAGTTCAACTCCCACCCTTCCCCGGAAAGAAGGTAACGAGCCGTTGCGGCGCGTGCTGCTTCTCAATGGCTTTTGAAGGCCTTGGGTCGCATGAGCCCGTCATTGATCCGCACGAGGAGGATGGAGCTAGAAGCTTACTTACGAGTACTCTTACACGTTTGTAACGGTCCTTGAGATCACTGAGATATGGTGCTCGAAGGAGGTCTTGTTGAATCGGCACATCAGCGTGAATGTACATGTTCGCAATTTCTGTCGACTGGTAGGCGCTTCTTTCGTTCTTGTATAGATGGTAACGAGAATGATAGCCTGAAGGCTGCAACGAAGCAGTCAAGTGGGAGGCTCCATGGGAAGAATGGAAGGCCACGGATTAAGGTAGATCCAACACTGTATCCAAGGTAACCGATCAAAATGTTAGAGCCGTGCCTCATCATTTGATCTCACGAAGTGTTACAGCTTTGGGAATCTCACAGATGGTTCATAAATGATTCTTAAAGGCGGTCTTAAGGAATAGACTGGCCCGTAAGCGTACGAGGCGAACGAACTTGTACACACTATTAGATTGAGAATCAATGATGCTCACTTAGGTCTTCTTTTTCTTCTTCTCTTCTGATTCTGTTGCTTCTTCTGTAAATCTATCAAATCCCGAGAAAACTGAATGAAACATTGCATTACCTGGTTCCTCCGTATCGGGGACTGAGCTGCTTTCAATGCCTACGTCCCCACCTTCGGCTTCATGCGTTTTCGCCTTGTTTTCCCACACGAGTCGTTCACCCGGAGTTAGTCGCTTCCATGCTGCTCCCAGCTCTCTCATCAGATCTGTCTGCGAGTCGAACTGTCCTGTCTGGCGCATCCTATCTCCCTCCTCCTTCACAAACAAGTTATAAGCTGACGGCGTCCTTGGTTTACGATCCGCCTTATCCTGCATGAAAATGAGAGGAAGCAAGACTAGAGAATCGATCAGACATACAAGCTTTCTCTTCTTGTGTGAATGGTCGGCCGCCATTGGCATACTCATCGGCATGGGAACATGGAGCTGAGACACAGGGAGTCCAGAGACAGGTCCATTTAGAGTGAGCAACATCTTTGCAGAGATGTGAGATGATAGCCAAGAAGGATCCAAGGAGGGTGTTACCTTCCCGAACTCAATATATGCATTGCCAAGATTGTGCAAAGCGGCTTGAAAAGCGTTTGGACCTCCTCCACTGGACATCGCAGGCACATTGCTCGGCTGTGGTGGAGGGGGGTATGGTTGATTTGGATACCCGCCTGAGGGGTAGTCCCCGGGAAATCGAGCAAGAATTTTGAAATAAAAGCTAAAGAAAGATCCCTCCGGACAATGTAAGGCTCTGTAAAGCCTTCTTCTTTGTCACAAGCAGCTGCTCGCCTGCGAATTGGATTACGTGATGTCAGATTCTGGTCAAGAAAAGATGGAAAGATGGAAAACCAATGCAACAAATAGAATGTGATGTTCGAGAGAAAGATATATTTGAGCAAAATTTCACGTTGACAAACATCCAAAGTACGTGATCATGTCGACGCAACAGATCTAAACTAATACGACGCCTTGAGCTTTCTGAATCCGCGTTCATCGTTCAAAACGGATAAAGCATTAGATGCATATGGCACGGAACATAAGAATGTAGCGCAATCAATGATGTGCATCGTACTCTACATCTTGTGTCGAAACAAGACAATGTTGCTGGATGTGGCCAAACACATATCGATGCGACGGGGGAGACACAAACACAATTCAAAATGAACAAACGTGAATCAGACAGCAAACATGAAGATCACTGAGCTGAGTTCCGTCAATCTCTCAATTTCGAGGCATAATGGAAGAAGAGGGAGGGAGGTAGAAGGACGCAAGATGGGCCTCGAGCCATCGGGTGCGAGCGTTAGTTTGCGAAGGGCTTCATGGTTTGAAAGGAGGAGCGGACGAAGATAACAAAAACTATTGAATAGGAGAGGGGGTAGGAAGCAGAGGGGGGGTGGTAGGAAAGAAGGGTAGGAGACAAATAGGGCAGTGGTAAGAGAAAGGGTACTGGGGGTGGTAGGACGGTGGTAGTAGGGAGCAACGAGGGAATAAATAGGAGGGTAGGTGGGACAGGATGGGGAAGGATAGGAGAACGCAATTAGTGGGTATGGGGTAGCGATCTACAAAAGGTGGGGTCATCAATGGAGTCAAGGTAGGGTAGGGTAGTCCAATTAGGGTAGCAGTTTTATTTGGTACCTAGCTGTATCAGATCCCAATACAAATATAAATATATTCGGTACCAAGCTTTTTAAAACCTTTCAAAGGCCAAACACGGGTGGCTCCACCCGTGTTTGGCTCACAACTCCACGACTGTTTGGGGTATTCGGGTAGGGGTACTTTTATTAGTAAAATATCTTATAAAAGGGTCTTGTAGTTGGGGGTCGTTGCTTGGTTCGACGTAGCAATCTTTAATTGCAAACCGTTACTTATATTGTAGTAACTCTATAATCATCGTTCTGGTACTGTTTAAAACTATCACAGGCTGAGTCAGCCGGGCCCGCCGGCTCCCGCGGCGCCGAGTCGCGGCTCACGGTCAGTCCAGTGGCCGGGCCTCTCACTGTACGGTCACGCGGGACGGTCCGACGGTCACGGTCGGACGGTCAAACAAACTACAGTGGGCCGGCCATCGAGTCGGCGCCCGACCGTGACTCGCCGGGCACTGCTCCGGGGGCCGCCCCCGGCCGCGTCGGATGGCAGTCTTTCCGAGTTCTCTACTACTCACCGTCGGAGGACACTGACAACTGTTTGATCCGACTCGATCCGATCGGATCACTGCGCGGCCAAGCCCGCCGTTCGCTGAGGCGAGCCAGGCTCGGAGTCGGAGGCTTGACATTCTGGAGTCCGGCCCGGGCGCACCGACAGTGTGCCAGGTGACTCGCCTCCGTCACTGGACTCCAATTCAATCCGATCTGGCACCGTGGCCCCGCGGGCCCCGAAGTTTGCCAGACTCACAGAGTCACGGTCAGCACTGTGACCGTCGGACGGCGCCGGGCACGGCCCGGGCTGTGACTTCACGGACAGTGACGGTGGGGCCGGCACCGTTCAACGCCGGTCAGGTTCACGACTCAGGCTGTCGACCGTCACGGTCAACCTACACGGTCACGTCGACCGTACGGTACCGTACCGGCAGTACCGGCGGGCCGGGCCCGGCCGCCCCGGCGGGCCGCGGGACGGTACGGTCAGTGACGGCAACCACCGGCAGTGCCACCGTGGCACTGGCGGGGGGGCCCGGCCGGACCGTCCCGGGTGACGCCGGGCCGGAGTCACCGCCCCCCCCCCCCGGGCCCCGGCCTCTGAGACGGACGGTCATCGGATGATCAGCGGGCGCCGGTCGGTACTATAGGCGGCACGGCACGCCGGGCACGGGCCGGTATGCGGCGGAAGTTGGCTGAGCCCGGCCCGGACCAGTGGGACTCCGGAAGTCCGCCCCTCAGGTAGTACCGCCGGTCGTACCGGGCCTTGTCTCAGTACTGAAGTTACTGATTTTTAACTTAACTTTGAGTAAAGAAGTTACTGTCGGTTTTCAAACTTTTCGGCACCCACCGTGGCAACGTCACTATCATCCTACCTGGCACCCCTCCCCTCCCCACCCCCACCCCCCATCCGCCCCCCCTTCCCACCCAAGTCATCATATTCAACCCGGGGTCAACTGGTACCCCTAGCTCAAATAGGATCCCCCCTACCAGTACCCTACCCAAGGTCCGACCATTAGCGGACTGCGAGGACAGCCATGCGGGGGGCGCGGGACTTACACAGGGCACCATCGAGGGAGGATCTTTATTCGAGCCAGAGGAGCATCGACTCTGTTGCTTCCAGATCCCTTCTGACTGGAAATGGAACGGGCATGAGTGGTGTGGGTATATTTTTCCAGCAAGAGGGCGATGGCAAGGTCTACGTGAGAACCATTGTCAGCGGAGGTTCTGCAGAGAGAGATGGTGAGTTGGATGGTTGTAGTTCATATCAAAATCGACTTCTCATAGTATACATGTTGTCATGATGAACTACCTCCATGTACATTTCTGCTCCTAAGTCTGGTTTCAAACAGGAAGAGTTCGGGTTGGCGACGTAATGTGCGGGGTTGACGGTAGAGATGTCATAGGCGAACCAGTCAGCGTCCTTAGAAGCCTGTTGCTTGGACATGAAGGAAGCACGGTTTAGTTGCCAAGTTTATGAAATCTCATCTCAAGTATGGTCTCTCTGCAGGTTGTACTTACTTTTGCAAGGGCCGTTGAAGCTGGTATGGACGCCGAAACTTCTGACATGAACTCTGGAAACACGGTATGTGAGCAGTCTAAGATCTCGATCACAAACACTTTGGTGACTGATAGGCACTTATGCGATTCATCAGGTCATTGCAAAGTTTGACGTGGAGCTTGTGCGGGGCAGTCCAGAATATTTCAACAAAATGGACTCAGCACGAAAGTAAGATCTTGCTGTTTGAGACGATTCTCTTGGAATGATGCAACGCAGATATGAAATTGAAATGCAAGACCTGAGACATCAACTCAAGCAGACGTTGAGTGAGGAGAAAGAAATCTCTGAGGAGGTCGAACGGGTCAGACGTGTGCTTCAACTTGAGAGGGGGGCGTCTGCCAGGCGAGAAAAAGAATTAGAAGAAATCAGATCTTCCCATGCTCGAGAAGTAGCGTCTTTGTCAGAATCTTTGCGAAGAGCTGAACAATCTCGGCGCGAAGCAAGCGGGCGGCTTGCTCCTGTGAAATCAAGGGAGCAGGAGCTTTCAGAAGAGCTTGCTCGAATGAAAGAGAAAGACCGGTGCTCATTCTGCGATTCTGCCTGAAATATTTCTCTGAAGTTCATTGCACCTCAGATTGCGCAAAGAGTACGTAGAAGAACTTCGAAAGAGACATGAGGAAGAGACTTCAAGGTTGGAGGCACAACTTGCCAAAGAACAGCGAGCCAGGAGAGAAGAGCAGGTGGTTTTGAATTTAACTAAGCAAGGGCGGCTTATGAATTCAACACAGGCTGCCAGAATCGAGGTGGAGCGTGAGCTGGAAAAGTCCAGAAAGGAGCTAAAGAAGGAGCTAGATATTCAAAGATCAACTGTTGACCAAGACAAATCGTACCGCGAGCAAGTCGAATCGTGAGTCATGTCTCATTGCTATCATTGCAAACTGAAGAATCATAGATCGAAAAAGAAACTGCGAGACGTGGTTGAGACTATGGAATCTCTGTATGCCATGATGAAAGACTTGGACGACTGGAACAATCACGTTCAGGACGGACAACTGCATACGAAGCTGGTGAGTAATCGTCACACGATGAGCAATGATTCCAGGTATCGAATTTTTTTCCAATGGTTTGTGGTTGACGTTTAGCTAAGATGGTGAAGGAAAACTTTGGCCTCTAGTTTTTTGAAATTCCAATGGAACAAACGAGAATGGAGAACAAAGATCAAGTATAGAAAGATGAGAGACACATTCTATTGAGTATAGCGTACTAAATTCTTGCTTTGATAGCAAGCTCTTCTCGCTGCTGCATCATGTCCTGTATATCACAACGTTTCTTCCTTTGAACTCTAGACAATGCCGTCGTAGATCGGGATGCTTAGACTGCAGATACGAAACGAAATCTTCATAAGTCACTACCAAGTCTTGATCGTTCTGCTGGTTTGTTCTGAAAACTGATTGCTTTGGAAAGACACAGCATGGAATGACTGCAAAAGGCTTGTTCATGGCAATAGCAAAGTCGACAATCGGTTCTGTAGCTTGATCTGGATGCATTCCAACAACGCAAGAGCATTTGCTTAGAAGGGGCTCAAAACTTGCATCATTCCACATAGAGCTGTCGAAATTATGAAGGATGTGCTTGACTCCTCTATCCCTTCCTTTTCTACAGTCCCGTGGGTCAATGACAGTCGAGCTTATGTTGGCTTCCGCCAACCTCTGCGAAATTTCTCCCTTGCCACCTGCTACGTCGAGGACTCCAGAACCAGCGGTCAGCACTTCCTTGCCGAAAGTTTCGATCAACCAACGGCAGAAAACCTCAGCTCTTAGCCTCTTGGGAACTTTCTCTGTCGCAGCCAAGTGATCTCCAACCCTTTCAGCCACCCCCATGGCCTTCTGTAGCTTCTGCGCTGCACGTTCCTCCTGCCATGCCTTCTTCGCCAAGACTCGCTCCTCCCCCATCACATGCTTGAGCGTGCAGTTTCTAAGTGGGCAGCTCGCACTGTTGACCCAGAACTTGCAGATCTCGCCCCTAGGCAGCCGATTGAGTGCAGTCAAACTTACTATCGCTCCCTCCGCAGGTGGGGGCTTAGTGAACTCGATCTCTGTACCTGTACACGAGTCTGCACTTGCCTTCTCGATCGTCTGCACTCTATACACTTCCTTCGTCCTTTCTCCCTTGGTGGCATCGAGACTATCGCAGAAGTAGACTACCTCCACCTCGTCGCACAACTGAACCTGTTTGCCATGCACCACAACCGAAGCAGCAGTTAGGACGCCCGAGGAATGCTCCCCGCCTCTCCTCAACACAAAAGGCACAACGCTCCCAGAATCTTCGGCGTTTTTTATGTCAAAGAAGAACATCCTCGTGCTGTACCATCTTGTCCTTGTCACTCGCCCCCGGATCCTCTCAAGCTTCCTGTTGAATGCATACTCCTCCTTACCATTCCTCACTTGTTCACCATCACCAACGCTCTGCAAGTTTTCCTCCTTTTCTTCCTCCTTGTTGCTCCTTCCATACATATCTTCCTGCTTCCTGCTTCCTTCAACCTCCTCCTCCTGTCCATTCCCTTGACCGAGTCCATGGTGGCTCCATGTGTTCGGTTCGCACATGCGAGCACCTTGTCTGAGGGAAACTTTCGGGGTCACAATTTTATTACGAAGTTCAAAGTTTCAAAGTTTGGGCGAAGAGGCGCTGAATTTCACCAGCATGACTACCAACAAGGTAACTGAGGAGAGGGGAAGAGGAGGGGAAGAGGAGAAGGAGGGTGAGGGAAGCAGGAAGGAGATAGGGCACGGGGCAAGAAGGGTCAGGGACAAGATGCTCTTACAGCAACTTGTTAGCAAACTGTGTTCAAGCCCGTGACTTCTTCCTGTTCGTCGCAGGGGTTTGTGGCCTTGGCTGCCATTTGTTTTACTTTCATGGCCGCGATCGCATTGGTCTCCTTTGGAACAGTTGAGAATGACAGCCAGCGCAGAACCTTTCTCCTGAGCGCGAAAAACATGGCGTCTAGGAAAGTCACGATCCTCAAGATAGCGAAGCAGCTTCACGCGAAGAATGTCCCATTGAAAGTTTCGCTAAAAGCTGCGTCGGCACTGGCTACTTTGACCTCGCTGTGCGATGGAGGAGCAGGCGCTAACCAAGATGCCATGGACAAGTACAGGAGAAAGGTCGACAAGAAGTATGGTCGAGATATACCTGTTCGACTGTGAGTGACTCGATGCTCAGCTGGTGGTCCGCCATCCGGGCGTTCACTACTGAGGAGGAAGTGAAGAAGATGGTGATGGCAGACACGAGGTGAGGGTTGAGATGTATCACTGTATGCTCTTGGTGAGGGTTGAGATGTATCACTGTATGCTCTTGTTGAGGGTTGAGATGTATCACTGTATGCTCTTGTTGAGGGTTGAGATATATCACTGTATGCTCTTGTTGAGGGTTGAGATGTATCACTGTATGCTCTTGTTGCTCTTCCCACCTCGGAGAAGTCTGAGTTTGCTCCAAAGGCATGCCCATCTGTTGATCTTTGTTGCTCCGGGCTGGTGTCAGTGGTCGCAGAAACAGGTCTGTGTGCAGCAGAGGAGATTGGCGCTGTATCACTGACCCCTGTGTTCGAAGATTGCCGAACTTCAAAAGAACTTCGATGATCTCGGTGAACAGCTGCGTCGTCACTGAGACGTGGAGCTTTGCTCGTGCTTACAGTGGTTGTAGGGGAAGCACAGGATCGCGTGCACCTCATAGATGTGGATGATCCTGCAAACAAGGAGCTTGTCCAGTTCGAGCAAGTGAGATCGTTCCCTACCATCATGGTTGTACAGGTCAGTGATGATAGTGAAGAGGAGGGTTGCTTCGCAACTTGACACGATCCAACAGGGTAACAACATTATCGGACGTGTGAATGGATATAAAGATTTTGAACATGTGAGGACGTCTTCTATGACTTTTGATATCAACAACATGGGCCGACTGTTGTTTGTTGTAGGTACATGACATGGTGTTTGCGGACAGCCAGGTGATAGTTTGATATCTTCACGCCTCCAGTGTGTCTTGCTTCAATGCCAACTAGAACCATGAGGGAAGGGTGGAGACTAAGGGAGGGGGAGGGTACGTGGGGGGGGGATGGGGGGGAGGGCGGCCCCGCAACTCAAATGCACTGAGGCGGGGTACTGTATGTTCGGGTGACAGGGTAGGGATCATGTGGTGTGGAGGCTCATGATAATGTTTCGATTTTGCAAACTTTTATCCTCCATCGTTGGTGACACATGTGTTTCTAGGGAGTTCCGTTTGAAAGTACATTCCCCGATCATTAAACTTAGTAAACCTGAAACTCAGTTGAGACCGAACCGTCCTTCTCTGTTTAGTTGTGGTAGTTACCGACGGTAACTTCTCAGAAGACTGATCAGTCAATGGCACTGGGCGGTCCCGGATCGGACTCGATTGAGTCGGACGGTACCGTCACGTGACGGCTGGCCCGACTCGCCGTGATCGGGGTGACAGCCGTGATCCGTCGGACTGTCCGATCGGACCGTACTACGGTACTCCCGGCCCGGCGGCCACCGTGGCACCGTCACGGGAGCGGCTGAGCGGCCGGCGGCCCGGTACGGTACGGTAAACCGTGCTGAACTCCGAACCGGGCTAGTAGCCGCTTTGGCCAGTCAAAAGCTGCAGGCTGGTCAAAAGTTCGATGCGACCTACGGGGCTATTGATCCCTCAACAAAGAGAGCAGCCCCGCTCCTACCCCACCCCTCGCTCCAACTACATGAAGGACCATCCTGTGCTGTGTACCACCCCCTTCATGATATGAGACTACCCACCCTAGGCTAATGCATCAAATTCAGGTAGTTCCGAGGCCCAAGTCGCCAATGTGCCCTGCCCTCCCGGAGTCCCTACCCACCCTCAACCCCATTTTGCCACCACCCCACGTACTTAAATCAGATAGCACCTTGCAAGGTGCGTTGACAACCAAGTATCCGTACTATGTGAAAATTACCTTTACCTCAATTAGATTATCTTGTACCTATACCTCATTCTTTGTTTCAAGCACGAAGTACCACCTTACCTGTGAAAACACCGTTACCCGACCCTACCGCCTACACCTCATTTTCCCCCTATAAAAGAAGGGACCGAAACTTCTCTGCCGTACTGCTCTGTGCTGTCATGCCCGAGAATCGTCAACTGCTCCTCCGTCGCCGTCCCTCCGCTGCTCTCAGCCAGAAGGATGTAGAGATCGTCTCCAACGCCACTCCCAGCCTCAAGGATGGCCAGTTCCTCGTCAAGAACCTCTATGCCTCCGTCGATCCTACTCACAGGATCTGGATGTCTGAAGACGACCAGTACCTTGCCCCTGTTGATCTGGATGCTCCCATGAGAGCGATGACGTATGGTGTGGTAGAGGAGAGCAAGAATCCTTCCTTCCCTGTGGGAGCTCATGTGTTGGGCATGGGCGGCATTCAGCACTACTATGTTGGAGACCCCGCTGCTGACCCTGGCTTGACTGTTGCCAAGGAGATCGAGGGACTTCCAAACACCGCATGGCTGTCTGTGTGCTCTGTGATCATCGGGCTTACTGCATGGGTTGGAGTGAATGAGATCTGCAAGCCCAAGCAAGGAGAAACTTTTGTTGTTAGCGCTGGAGCCGGAGCTGTTGGCTCACTCGCCGGACAGCTTGCTAAGCTGCGTGGCGCACGTGTGATAGGGTTTGTGGGATCTAAGGAGAAGGCCGATTGGATTGTGAATGAGCTTGGATTTGATGGCGCGATCAATTACAAGACTGATGACATGTTGACGAGGTTGAAGCATCTTGCTCCCAACGGCGTTGACAGCTACTTTGATAACACGGGAGGCCCTTCGACCGAGGCTGTTCTCCGCTGCTTCAATAACAATGCTCGCATTGCCCTCTGCGGCATCATCTCGGGCTATAACACGGGAGACTTTGCGCTCAAGAATTTCCAGATGCTCCTCCATCGTCGTGTGAACTTGCAGGGCTTCATTTGCCTCGACCACCTCGACAAGTACGAGCAGGCCCTTGCGGAACTTATCCCTTTGGTAAAGGACAAGAAGATCAAGTACCTGGAAGATATTCAGACTGGCATCGACAACTACCCTGACGTTGTGAACATGTTGTTTGAAGGATCCAACAAGGGAAAGCTCATGCTCAAGTTCTAAGAGTTGTACCTGGATTTGTATCGACGAAATAAAGATTTCCATACACATTTGAGCGATTGCAAGGACAGTGTAGAATATGCCTTTGAGAAGGAAAATTCTGATTCGTATTGTGGACGAGTCTACACCTGACACAGGTCAGATCTACCCTGAATTCAAAACATGGCGTGTATGATATCTGAGAGGAGGCTCGCGAACTTACAGTGTAGGAGGAAATATGTACAAACCTGTTGCAAGGTCTGGGCAGGCTGGAAACACTTGTTGCTGATCTTCTCGGTTGGCTTGTGGGTCTGAACGTCATAAACCAGCCGGTCACGACTGAGAAACTAGGCCCGGAGTGGAGAAACTAGGCCCGGAGTGGAGAAACAAAGAGAGGTAGAGCTTTTACAGGGAGCAGTCTGAGAAGTGCTGTTATGATACGACGACGATTATCGAAAGACTGGATAGCGGAGACCGATGCGATCTTCTGAGGAAGGGTGTTTAGTATAGAGATGACAACTACAATCGTACCGCACGTACATGTTCAGCGCTACCCTGCATGACGTCCGATTTCGTACAAAGTTTGAAACTTTGAGGCAAGCTTCAGTCTGTTGAGACTGTAGCTTGCCTTCATGAGTTTGACGATGGTTGATAGATACCCTTACTGACTTTTTGGCCTGGCACTGCATGTGCCACGCGGACCTTCGCCAGAAACTCGCGTGTTTTCAATTTCTTATATGGATTGAGCAAGAAGATTGACCTCTAGTGAGACAGGCTAATGCCTCGAATCAAGGTACCTTGTTGGTTATGTACAGAGTGTCAGAGTCTAATCCAAGCACTTGTTTCAAACCGATTTTCACTTGTCATGGCATGCCTAAGAGGTTGTTGTCCATAACAACAAACATCAAGCTCACTAAAAATTGAAGACATGCCTAGTTTAACACAGTAGTCTTAAGCACGGATTTGCCTCTGTTAAGCAAAGGCGCCTGGAATAGAATGGTGGCACGGAAGGCTCATGCATTACCGAGAGTATTCGATGCTGCAATCAACGAAGTTTTCATTCAATTCACTCCGTCAAGTAAACTCTTATTCATTAAGACGCCGAAGAACTTATTTCGATAGAAAAATAACGTATACCATCTCATTTACAGTGATCCGGGAATCAGCCAACTGCAAACTCTGTGGAACATGAAATGAACCTGATATCTACAACCACACCATTCTGTTGTTCCTTTTTGTGTTCCTCCGCGCCAAAGATGTCGCTCTCGCATGGGTCGAAACACTCTTTCTTGCCCTAAATGGACTTGTTCTAGCATCGTCTACTGGACCGAGCAAGCATCCTTTTGCTTGGATAAATCGCGCCAAGGAAACTTGTCTCCATAAGGGTCTTCAAGGATCACCTTGCGGCCCTGCTTCGAGAGGATCTTGCCATCCCGTGGATCGACCAGTACCAACAATGGCATGCTATCATGGCCAATCTCACGCTCTATTGCCTCTTTGATGTCCCGCTGACTGAAGGGCAGCGCGAGCCATGGCATCTGGTGAAAGTAGTGCTGGAAGTCCCTTTCGGTCCGATCCCCAGAGATCAAGATCACCTCCATCTTCTTGCCCTGTGAGTTCATCCGGGAGTAGACGTCGATCAGCGAGGGCGTGAAGCACTTGCAGGGTGTGCACCATTCAGCAGAGAAGTAGAGGCCGACCACCTGCTTGTCTTGGAGAGTGTCGAGTGGAACGAGGGATCCTCTGGGGTTCAGGAGACACGTATTTTCGCCGAAGAATCTTTCCATCCTGAGAGTGTAGAGGTAGAAGGCTCTGTCAGACGTCGGAGAGGGTAGTCGGAGGAGCTGGAGAGGGATGGGAGGATGCGTGTAGGTGCTGGAGGGGATGGAAGGAGCGCGTGGGGTGCAGGCGGAAGAGGCCTTCCGATGTATTTAGAGGGAGTTTGCCTCTTACTGAGAGGGTATTTTTTCAGTCATACGGAGGGGTGGTAGTGTCGCTGAACGCAACTTTCAGTGCCCCGTAATAATGACCATTGTTGACGCCTCAGACCCACCCCTCCTTTGGTAGAGCTGAAACACTACAACGCAGGGGTCAGTGCAAGAGGAATTCTGCTCAGGGAAACCGTTGAATAATTGATAATAAAGCCTGTGACTGTCGGTGGCCGGGAGCGGGATCCGCGGCTCAGCTGCCGCCAGTCACCCGCGGCGGCGGGCGGCGGCCGGGGCCCGGGGCAGCCCGGCCGGCACTCAGCGGCGGCGGCGCCCGCCGTCCGTCTCCGAGTGACCCGCCGGAGCCCGGGCTACGGTCCCGATCACGCCAGTGACTGACGGACGGTGCAGCCGGCCGGGATGCCGGGTGGCTGGCGGACCGTCTGAAGGCCGCGCAGGCTAGCACCCGGGGGCCCCCCGGCCCCGGGCCCGGCGCCCGGCCCGGGGGGCCCGGAGTGACGACCGACGGTGCGCCGGCCCTGGCAGGCTGACTCGGAGCCTCGGAGTGGCACGACCAACGCCGTCACGCCGGTGGGCCCGGGAGTCAACGGCCCCAGTGGAGGGCCCCCGGGCCCGCCTCGTACTCCCGGGTCCGGCCGGGACACTCGGAGGCTCCGAGGCTCCGAGTCCTGATTGTCCTCCGGGAGTCCAGGACTCACTAAGTCACTCTGCGGCGGCCCCTTCCGTGAGTCGCAGTGAGCCGCAGAGCGGCCGGTGCCACGCCGGTGACGGTGAGCCGGCCCGGCCGGGCGGCTGCCGCTGGCCAGCCTCCGTGCCCGAGGCCCGGGGGCCGGGCCCGGCCGCCCGGGGCCCGGCCAGCCGGGGCTGACCGTACAGTGGCGCCTATGACCTGCACCAAATTAAGCCTTCTTTTTGCAAATTGGTAGTACGTTTTGTACCAGGAGTTCAATTCTATATTTATTTAATTTGAGTGGTTTGTTTGGTAGCGCCTTTCCAACACAGGGGGACATGAAGTCGATGGCGCGATGGTGGGGAGTTGGCGGCAAGGAGAGAGGGCGACGGAAGGAGGCGATGGCGGAACAAGATAGCCATCATGCAAACTACCATCCCCCTTCATCTGCTCTCCGCTCCTCGTCTTCGTCTCTTCATGTCCATTCCGCCTCCCATGGACCTGCCCAGCTCGCGGGAGTGGGGCTGGTAATAGGGAAGCGTAAGCAGGGGTACCTTGTGAAGGACATCTTGCAAGGGACAGGGGCAATGCTAAGCGGGATGCGAAGAGGGGACCTCATCGTGCAGGTACGTATCTCGACCACTTGGTGTCATCGACACTTGCTGGCTCAGGTTTGCGTTGATTCTCTAGCAGGTCAACGAGAGGGACGTGGGTCCTTTGAGCCTGGAGGAAGTGACTAGTGCGATACTCGGACCCGTTGGGAGCATCGCAAAGTTCAAAGTTATGAGGAATGCGCATGAACGGAACGTGCTGTTGGAGTTCCTCGTGCTGCGGGAGCTCAGAGCTACTCAGGACCCCCTGTTTCAGATCAAGTGCGAGGGCAACAAGGTGACGAGGTCACACCTCCACCTCCAGTGCGCGCAAGATGGAAGTACGAGAAGTTCCGACAAGAAGAGAGAGGGAGAGAAGAAGCCAGAAGAAGAGCTAGAAAAGATGGGAGCAAGAAAGATGAAGACAAGCCTAGGGGCAGGGGAAGATCCAGAGACAGAGATAGAGATACAGATTGAGGAAGAGACAGAGATAGAGACAGAGATAGAGACAGAGATAGCGGAGGAAGTAGGTGGTAGTCTCTTTGCTTCTGGGGTCGGCGAACTTCCTCCTTCTTCAACTTGTGGTGAGATCACTCCGGATCCACCCTGGGACGGCCATTGGCCTGTTTCTGGAGCCAGCAGCCTCGTCGACGTCGGTGTGGATGTGCTCGTGCTCGAGGAGTGCGGAAGCTCGTGGAAGGCCTGCCGGCTGCAGCTGACGCGAGAAGGAAGACTTGTGCTTCCTGGGCACAGTCTAGATGGGAAGCTGGTGGTATGGGCTCAGCCGCAGCTGGAGATGTACCGCCCCGACATGTCGAGAGAAGACTTCTCGATGATGGGAAGAAGGATGTGCGTGATGGTAGAAGGGGAACACCTCATCGCACACAGCCGCCATGGTGCGATCAATGCAGTGAAGGCTGAGAGGTTGCATGTGATGGCGTTAGACTCGTCGACACGGGACAGGTACAAGTTTGCTTTCATGATTGTTGTCCTGCACTCCTTCATGTTTTATTCCTTCTGTCTTCTGTCGATCAAGTGATGCATCTTCTTATTGGTTTGCTACCTCAGATATGTTGAGGAATTCATCGCAGTGGTTCAACGCCGTGAGCTGGGAGCGCAAGGTAGCCGAAAGCACTCAGGATGTTATGCCCCTCTGTAGTGAAGGAGCAGCGCAATGGCAACCACAGCAGATCAGCAGCGAATGTGAGACGATGCCACAAACAACATGAGAGTGGGTGGCTTTGTGCTTGGGAGTTTCATTGAGATAGTCTACTTGCTCGTCTTTGATACAAGGAGTGAAAGAATACCGTTAGCTGTCAATTGAATGGAGCATGATCGTGATAGAATCATCTGCAGTCAAACGCTCAGTCTGCTTGCCTTCCCTTCCTCTCTTCGGTCACCTGTAGCACTGCATGGTCGATGTTCTTTACGGCTGAGTTTTGTCCGAGCCTGTGATGAAGCGCCATGCAGACAGCAAGATGTCTCTGCGCGCTAAGGATCAGGATCGATTCATGCTACAAGACATGCAAGACGGCAATCTTGAAAGAGATGTGCAGTTCGTCAAGTAGACCCGCCCACTCTTCGTGTAGCTCCACATCTCAATTTGCTCACCTCGGTGAAGAAAGAGAGTCTCCAGTCGCTGTTGTTGGTCCCCGCAAATGAGCTCCATGTATCGCGCCAGACCTTAGTGAAGTTTTAGAGACCTGCCGACTGACTCCCCTCCCCCTCGCAGCTTCTTCTGATGTTCCTCTCCCCATATCCTCTCACCTGTGGTTCACACTTCCTGGCTACGATGGAGCTCAAGGCTGATGTCACACCCTTCCTGCTGCATCGGCGAGTCAGGCAAGACGCCGGTAAACACAGCAACTCACTTCTTGAGACCGAACGACAGAGAACCATTATCGACCTGTAACAAGTCAATCTACTGCCAAGTAGATTGCAACTCCTTGATTTACCTCCAGCATTCTGCCGATCAAGATGATAGTGAGAGCGACTTCTTCATCGATTCCAACCAGGTTTTGGTGTCGCGTGAGTGGTTGATTTAGCCATCGCTTCAGCAATCTCGTGAAGACTCTGCTGGTCTCCCTGTGGCTCACCATGTGCTTCCTGCTCACCGTCTCACGGGCCTCAACATCTCTCGCCGCAACTTCACCTGTTGCTGATGTTTGAAGATATTCTTACAAGCGGTTTCAAACATTCTCGAACAGCCCAAATCACATCCTGGCCCTGTGACATTGTCAGACGCGATCAAGTGAACAAGCACGCAATTGAGACGAAGCAAGCAGACAAAGAAAGAAAGGGGGCAAGGTGAAGATTCAGAGCGACAACTCGCTTCAGTCAAAACACTCATCGTCAGCATGCCGTGGACTAACCTCCCCCCTTCTCCCTTTGACTGCACATCGCACTAGACGCACGACGGTCGTAAGCACAGCTGGGTTCGCCTGTCAAGTATGGGATGAGTGTCGGCAAGGAGACGTCAGGGCTCGAGACCTCAAGCTCCGATGGATCCTCAGCCAGGTTCGACAGCGCCATGAATGCCTGCAGGTCATCATGAGCACAGGAGCATACTGGCTCACGTCGGTAACCTCAGCTCTCATCGCATCGTATTCCTTCCCTATCTCATTAGAGTTCAGCATCTTCTCCAGACACTGCACAATCCCTCCCTGACGCTGAGGACAAGGCAACACAGTCAGTCCCCGACACTCTGGGTCAGCAAGGGCTCACCAGCTTCGGAAGGACTTTCGGATGGTCGCTGAGGCTGATCACTGCAGCAAGTCCCGCACTTCTGTCCGCGCTGTCTGTCCAGGTCGACAAGCTCTGCACAAGGAGGTCGCACAAGTTGCGCAGCATCCCAGGAGTCTCGACGATCCTTTCTGCTGCTTCTGCTCCTCCTCCAGCAGCAAAGTTGTCTGCGCAGTTTGCAATCACCATTGCAGCAGTATCCTGCGTGTCAGGTTGAACGTCTCCAGTAAGCAGATCTCGGATTGCTCCCAGCATCCCGTCGCATCGCACGATAGCCAACTTGTTGTACTGATTTTGCATAGCAAGATGCACCAGCGCCTGACAAGCCACCTCCCGAATCTCCTCTAGACTCTCAGGGGCACTGGGTTGCGATGAAGGCCCAGGAGCGCTCATGGCATTTAGAAGCCCCTCCAGAAGGTTCGGCGTGGTCCCAAGTCTAGTCGAGTTCTCAACATGATTCTGTGAGAGCCCGGTTATCGCAGCACACGCGGTGATCTTTGCAGCAGCATCCCCACGGTACAGCAGATCGCACAAACCGTCAGTGATGGCTTTCGACTTCCCCAGTAGATCTCTCCTCCTCCAGGCCTTGGATTTCATCCTCGAGCCACACACTGTGTACTTCTCATGATGGTCATTTCTTGACGATGGGCCATCTTGAGTATGCGCACACGACATGGTGATGCACTCTTCCGCGACGTTGGGCGATGAAGACGAACTCGATGAGATGGAGGCAGGATGATTGTGCGATGTTGAGGTCACCGCTGCTGTTCCATCCGACAATGCATTGTCCTCACCAGTGCTTCGCTGTGAATCAATCTCTCCTAGAAAGGCATTCAAGTTTGCTTCGCCTTCAGCTATGCTTTCAACGCTGTCTATGCTGTCTGATCGCTGCCGATCGGTGTTGCTACTTTCAGCCCGTTCCCGCTCTTCCTCCCTATCAATCGCTTCACAGATGGTCACTACTTCCTCAGCAGCCTCGGTGGCATCTTCTAAAGTCCTCAATTGAATCTTGGCCTCGATCTCATGCACTTTATCTTGCAACCTTTTCATCACTTCGTCGTCCTCCCCAGTCCACAACATGTTTGTTCCAATCCGAACGAATACCCAGTCGCCATCGATAACCCATCCTTCTTCACCCGCAAGCTCTCCTTCAAGATCATTGTCGTTTACCTCATCATCATACTCGAAGTCGCTCTCACCATCAGTGGTCATTGCTGCTGTGTTGCCCGCGCCTGTGTTTTGAACAGGGGGGGGATCAGCGTGATGAGAGGCATGTTGCCCCTGGGCTGACCCATAACTTTGATCGTGGCCTCCAGCACTGCCCAGATCATTTGCATGTGATCGGTCGTGTCTGCTCGTGCTGTTCATCCCCGCATTGGTATGAAAGTTAGTCGCTGCGAGTAGTAGGTCGTCATTCCATGCCCCAACACTCCTCGAGCCTGTTGCAAAGAATTCCTCATCCACGAAGCTGTCATCGAAACGCATACTGCTGTAGTCCACCCTGCTTGTGCTAGTGTCAACCCCGTTCCCTGGCGGGTCTGCGACATCAGCTTGTCAGTACAAAGCAGGCGAGGCCGCTGTGACGTCACCTTGTATCGTGAGGGATGGTGCAACACATCCGTATCGGATTTGGTTTTGCATACACTCAGTACTTATGTACTCACTCTGCCAGTCAGTGTTGGGGTAAACGGTGCCATTGCTCTCGTCCTGCGCGCTCAAATGTTCCTTGAGAGCTTTCATGATGGGATCATGAAACTCAAATCGATGTCCAGTCTCATTTCTCTCCTGACCATGGCTTCTGCTTCCATTGATCCGACGCGTTGATTCATGGTAGCTTGTCCAACTCTGCCCCGTATACCCCCGCGGACGGTGTGAACCCTGCTCAACACCAGTCCACGCCCTGCTCGAACCCTCACGTCCTCCAGTGAGCCTCCAGTTTCCCTCCGTTCTCGCCAGTAAGTCATCATGATCTTCCATCTTTAACTCCATCTCCTCCACCTCCCCTCCTCCTCGTCCTCGTCCTCCTCCCTCCTCCTCCTCTCCCCCTTGCTTTCCCCGCAGCCCCCCGCGCCACTCCATGCTGCCTGACGGGTTCGCTTGGACGGGGGTAGGGTAGGCTTTGATGGAGTCTTTGTAGGTGAGGGTACTTCAAAGGACCCAGTGAATTCCCTTCTTTCAGCTTTCAGAAGGGGGTGGTAGTCCAAGAATGCTGAGAAGGGGTGGGTATGTTGCTGAGTGATATTGTATGTCGACTGGCACTACAAATACACGAAAAACTTTAAAATCACGAGTTTTGAAATTGGAAATTCCTCGGTACAGTGAAATAAAATATATTTTGAAAAATGTACCTGAAAAACTGCACAAAACCCGAGTTGTTGATCTCATGGTCGTAACTTCAGTAGGATTTATCGTATATATCTCTAAAACTCATGAATAAGTATTTTATCAAATAAATTCGGTAATGCTGATTGCTTGAATTGGCTCACTTATTTACAGACGAAGGTACATTTAAATATATTGTAAATGATCTACGACTGCCAAGCATACCGCAATCAAACAATATGTACAAGAATATAAAACTAAGTATATAAATTTAAAAGACAATTTACATGTCACCTTGGATGGGTGACAGAAATTGTCAGCCCCGATAGAAAGATGTCGCAAACGCTCTATCTATGCGGAGGGGAACATGCATCCAAGATCCTTGCGATAGTTTCTTGCCTTGACCCAGCATGCTGTGTTGCTCCTTTGCATCCTATCAACAGTCCTTGCACCGATCGTTGTTGTCCGTCCCATTGAACTGTACTTTCCTTTCAGCCTCTTGAAGGGCGCGATGCGTCCCACACTGATCGATCTGTGCCGAACCCTTCTTACATATCATCTGCTCGAATGCTTCGTCCCATCCCCGTGATCTGCATGATATGCATGGAAGCAGGGTCTCTGGTTGCAAGTGTTCTCTCACTTGGAAGCGAAAGGAGCCGACGTACCTGCGACGCTTACTCCTTTCGCAGGCTGTAAAATGGTTCGAGGTTGAGGGGACTCCAGCTCACATGGACACAGAGCGTGCAGACACTTCTCTGCATCCAGGTGATGTGGCCTCGGCTGAGGACACCGCAGCATTGCCAGACACTGATGGAGGTCGGTCGTCCTTCTTTGAGGGTTCCTCCAGTCAACTTCCTGCAGGAGAGCAGCGACGGAATGTCGAGCTGCGAACGCGGATGTTCCATGTGAGAGCTCAAAGATGAGGAAGAAGCTCGGGTGATATTGTGCAGTTCTTGAAGAACGCGAGGGACTGGGAAGTGCATCTGTCCTGCTATGAAAACAGCAGAGTGCAGGGCAAGTTTCAATCTATGGATGCCAATCAGGCACTACTTTTACGCGACATGTGGTGGGAATGACTTGATCTGACAGGATCAGATCGTTCTCTGCAGTCTGCAGACTCCAATCGGAAAGTATCCCAATGCGATCGTCAGGGCGTCCGATGTTGTTGCGATGGACTTCACTCCATCAACGACCCCAGCTCTCCCTTGAAAGCATGATGTACAATGTAATGTTACCAACTAAAACTCCTCCCCAGCCATGGGGATCAGCGGGAAGTGCAAGTTGAAATCTCATTTGTTCATCATGTTCTCCATATTATAGTACAGGCTGAGAGAACACTAGCCGCCTGCAGGTCGTAGGCGGCGCCTCCTCCCTGAATGTTCATCATTACACCATCACGATGGCATCAACAAGAATAAAGCTCGCCTGAGGGTTGGCATGTCAGGAGGGGAAGACTTGCTGCTGCCGCTGCTGCCGCTGCAACGAACTATCAGACAGTTTCCTACAAGGGGCAGGGCCGAACCTGTTGGAGCTGTCGTAGAGCGCTTTCTGGGCAGAGCGCCTGAGTCCTTCCGTAAGAGCCAGCACGTACTCAACATCGGAGCTCAGATCCTGCATGTCCGTAGCATACGCGAGCTTCGGGCCTGATCCTGGTTTCATCTTCTCCACACTGTGCGGGTTGAGACACTTTTCTTTGATCATGCGGCACCTTCCCTGCAGCTCTTCCCAGGCCTGTGGGGAGTAGGATCGCAAAGGACTGCTGTTGACCCGCTTCCCGCTTGCGCTGTACCTCCTGCACACCGCCTTGGAATCCGTGTACAGCAGAGACCTCGCATTGCCTCCTGGGTCTACGTTCTCAATGTCGTCAACGTCCGTCAGCGGCACCCTCTTGGCCGGCCCGAGAGACGTCTGAGGAGTTCGTGCTCTGGCCCTGATGTATCCTTCAGCAAGGTGCTGGTGGGGCTCAGGGGTTGCGACCGTCCACGCCGGTGCTCTGCTGGTCTTGGGAGTGAATTCCTGGGAGAGGAAATTTCCTGTCCCTTCGCTGGTGGATGCAGAGGCTTCTTTTGCATCCGTTGCACTCCTTGTAGGGCTCGTGACATTCATCGCTGAGTCAGCAGAATTTCTCAGGACCAGCATCGGCTGCTTCTGAGTCGGAGTGCTCCCATCGCCCCATGATCGCCGAAAAACTATTCGCCTTCGATCGTTCTTAATCAAGGGTCTGTGGTGAGAGGCTCCTGAGGGAGACTGCGCGGAAGACCCTGATTCCTCCAAACTTTTCTCTCGCGCGATCGCCGGGCTTACAAAGAGATTGCATGGGGTCGGGACTGTGGAGGATCTTCTTGCGGGATATCTTTCCCGAGCTTGGCTTGAGGAGTGATCGCTGGTTGAGTCAAAGAGGACGGCATCTTCTTGCCCATCATCATCTGCTCCACTCGCAGGCTCAGCGCAAGAAACATGGCCTGAAACTTGTACACGCTGCACAACATTCAGATTGAAAGGAGCTGGGTCGGAGGAGGGGTACTCCACTTCGCAGGTCTGGACATGGACCGATTGATAGTCTATTTTGTCGGCATCTCCTCGAGCCTTGAGAGTTTCTATCTCTTCCTCTAAATTTCGAACTCGGTCCTGAAGCCTAAGATTCTCCTTTTGGCAAGCATCAAAATTTCGATTTGCCTGCTTCAGATCTTTTGCAACAGTTTCGGCTTCAACCTGTTTGGCATCAAAGGCTCTCTTGAGATCGTCCAGCTTCTTGAGGAGTTCCATCTCTTGCTGCTTGAACCGAGCTCGTTCAATACGGATCTGAACTGCCGAGTAGTTGAGGATCGAGTCAGGCGAGGGTCGCTTCCTTGGGTCCTTGTCGAGCAGTTTGCCAATGATGAATGGGATCTCCCTTGAGTAGTGAGACGGCACGTGCGCCTCTGGTGGATCGTTCACAATCTTCTTGAGCAGTTGAGGCTGATTTGCTGCTTGGAAAGGTGGTTTGCATGTCACCAGCTCGAACAGCAGGCATCCGAGCGCCCAGACATCTGACTTGGTGTCGTAGGGCTTACCTTCACAGATCTCAGGTGAGAAGTAGATCGGAGTCCCAACTTGCGAGATCGCACATGTCGTCTTGCTGGAGAGGACCTTTCCAAGGCCAAGATCACCTATCTTAATGTCTCCGTTCTGGTCTAGGAAGACGTTGGACGCCTTCACGTCCCTGTGGAGTACTCGCCGGGAGTGCATATGTTGCAGCCCGAGAGTGATCTGAATGAGATAAGACCAGAACTGTTCCTCTGTGATGTACTTGCCAGCAGCTGAGTTCCTCTTGATCACGGCCGCAAGATCGCCACCGGAAGCATACTCCATCACGATATGAAGAACGTCGTTCTCAACGAAGGACTCTACGCACGACACGATGTGCCGATGGTCGAGCTTCTTGATTATCTCGGTCTCGTTGAGGATCTCGTTCTCCTCCTCCTTGGAGACGCCTAGCAACGACACCTCCTTGATCACCAGCACCTTCCCGTCTGAGTTCCTTGTCACCTTGAACACGTCCCCGTAGCTTCCTCGCCCGATCTTGTTCATCCGCGTGTACGCCGACATGCTGGCCATGGCAGTGCACGCAGGAGAGGGGGCGAACCGAGACAGGAGTGAGGAGGGAGGGAGCAGGTACACACTAGAGAGAGAGAGTCAGTCCTCACTCTCCTCCTCCTCCTCTATCCTTCGCTTCCTCCATGCGCATGAAATGCCAGCGGAGGGGCTTTCGAGCGCGGAAGGCGATCCCCTAATGTTTGTACCCCTCATCCCCTAACAAAGTTTGCTGCCTTCGAGGTTCAACCTACAAATAGCCTGAAAGTGTCTATTTTCAAATCAATGCCTTGAAAGATAACTAACATTGCACTTGAGGCGAGCTCGATATCTCGTGCCTTGGCATGAAAATGCACTTTTCTCGCGCCTTCCTGCCCTCCCTCTCATAGGCGTTCCCTGCAATGCCTGCCCATCCTCTCCCCTCCCTCTCTTTCCACTTGATCTGTTTCAGCACCGCTCTAGTCAGGTAGCAAGGCCTGTACTCGTACAACGACATACAGTCGTCGAAGAAGATCGCTATAGGCCAGACTATCCATCCACAACGATCCCCTAAGGCATGCAGGTAAGCTTTCCCTTCTCCTCTACAAGACAGGGGCATGACCTAGCCTCCATATAGATAGGGAAGGTTGAGTATCGGATATCCTTGCTGACGGTGTCTGGAGCTCTGGCATGGTTGGCATACAGCTGCACGCTGGTGTCCAGGGAACATCATACAAACCTTCAAACATTCAGAGACATCATCAGCAGAGGTCATGCACACTCGCTCCATGCGCAACTGACACACGTTCAGGGTGGATTCCTTTCTCAACAGGCATCGATCTGACGGACTCCCAATGGAGAACCTGGAGGAGTCAAGCCGTTTATTTGCTTCCGTACATGGTCCCCTTGCCTTTCTTCTGCTAGATGTCGCTCAATCGCCTCTGTAGATCTTGATGGTGCACCTGCGAAGGTGGCTTTGTGGATCAGGAAGGATGCATCGTGTTTCCTTTACGGCACTTTGGTCTATCATGAATGTGATCATCCTACATGGCAATGGAACTTTCTACCTGTTGGCGTTCACGATCGTGAACTATTATGGTGCAAAGCTGTTGGTGAGGACGAGGTACATGAAGGTGTTTACCTGGATCTTTTCTTTTGCTATGCTGCTGCTTTCGAAGCTGTGGGATGACATGTGAGAGAAGTTCCTTGGATGGTTCTTTCCTCATCGTTGCATAGGGGATCGCTTCCATATCTGCAGGGGTTGTCAAGCACGATAAGTTTTCTTGAAGAGAGCCTAAGAGCAATTTTTGGTCCGACAATTTTCTCTGTCATTAATAGCTACAGGTAGAAATCGATGATTTTCTTCTCCGCTTAAAGCTGTCATGGCTAGTGGAGTGTATCGGTGGAACAAACCCTTCAATCTGTTGTTTCTCCGCATCATCAGCTACAATTGCGATGTACGTGACCAATCGTTGGTTATTGTTTTCTCACACATTGATGTCTTCTGAAGGTTTGCGACAACGCCAGGAATAGTGCATCTGTGGATGCGAAGGGCGAACAGAAAAACCGAACTATCGAGGATGGTTTCTTGTAAGTTTAACCCGTGCTGTGTTTAATTTCGAATCTATCCATCTGAAACTGACTCGCATCGATCTTTCTCTCTATATCTCTCTCACTGAGCGCACCAGGACGTATCTCTGTTTCCTTCTCTATCCTCCACTCTACGCCACAGGACCCCTTATTCACTTTGAAGACTTCTCGTAAGTGTGATGTCTCGTTTGCTATCTCCTTCTCGTTTCAAGCTTCGATGACGACTGCTGGTGAATTTCAGAGCACAACTACACACACAACGCAACAGTGAGTCGGCAGCCAAGGACAGGGTCAATGCCAGCTCTGGATGGAGACTGATGTTCAAATGTGCTCTGTATTTTCTTGCCATGGAGTTCATGCTGCATTTCATCCACCTGCATGCCATCAGCCGAAATCTGCACACTATTTTTCATCTCTACAGCAAGAGCGTGCTCTACCTCCCTCCCTGGGAAGTTATGGCTGTTGGGTTCTACATGTTGAACTACACATACATGAAGGTCGGTGATGTCGAGACTCCAATTGTGACGGGAGTTTGACATCTTGCTGCAGTTTCTCATCATTTGGCGGTCTGCAATGTCGGTAGCGAAGATGGACGAAATCGAGACTATTGACAACATGAATCGTGATTGATATCAACATATCAACACTGAGAGTGTGTATGACTTTCTTGCTGCAAGGTTGCGTCTGCAACAACTACACCTTCGTGGGGTTTTGGCGATCGTGGCATCGAAGTCTACACATGTGGGTTCTCAGGTACAACTTCTTGGATCCTTTTCCTCCTCATCCTCGCAGTCTGCTTGCTGTCCTTGCTATGCCTTTCCCCCTGTCCTTTATGCCTTTCACCCGTTATTGCCTTCCTCCATCCCATGCTCTGCTCCGCTCGGATCTCTACTTTCTATATCCCCCATTGACATCACCAGCTATCTTCTCTCCGCTGTCTCCTTCTCTGTCAGCCATTCACTGTCTTTGCAGGTACATGTATCACCCGATGGGAGGGCACAGCCGTCGCCTCCTCATAGTCTGGCCCATCTTCATCTTCATCGGCCTATGGCACGATCTCGAGTGGACGTGGCTGGCCTGGGCTCTCTTTAACTGCGCTTTCATGACTTTTGAGGTAACCGACCTCCTTATCTGTTCCTCCTCCTCTTCCTCATTGACTTTCAGATCTCTGTCTCCAAGGCCTTCAAGGGGAGCAGCCTGCAGAGACGTTGTGAAGATGGGTATGCATGCCTGTCAAGAGCATGTTGGTGGTGGCAGGTTTGATCGGATGCTGATAGTGTTGTTGACGACAGTATTGTTGATGGCGGTGTTGTGTTGTATGTTAGCTGTTGTTGCCAATGGCTGCACCCTTGTTTTGTGGTGATGATGGAGAGTGTGATGGAGATCTCATGATCGCCTTGGCGAACAGTCTCGGAAAGTGGCTGGTATTGTTAGCAATCGTCCTCAACATCTACTTGCTCATCCTCAGCAACCTTGCTATCCTGTATGGTTTCCAAGGAAGGTACATGCTCTCGTTCGCGTTCGTTTGCCTCCTCTTACATCCTTCAGCTATGACTTCGTCCGCGCCTTTCTCTTCCCCCCTCCTCCAGGGACACTGATGGATTCACTGGTGTCCAACGTGATTGGGTGGATACAATCGAAACTTGATGTTGGCTGCTGTCGTTCTGATTGTACTGGCAGGTTATGGTGGGTTGTGTCAGGGATTATCCTCATGCTCTATCGGAGGCAGGAGGAGAAGCTGAGGGGGGACAAGAAGACCTTCTGATGTTCACTGGCATCGATGTAACGACAGGCCTTGAATCGTTGCCATCAACACGCTCCTGCTGGTTAAACTGTGATACCTAAGAATGCTACATCTGAACTGCTGCTGTTGATCTCTCCGAGATACTTTCACCTTCCTAGCATCGATCCTGCCCATTCTAGCCTTCACCACTCTCCCTATCCACCCTTCTCTCCTCTCCTCTCCTCTCCTCTCCTCTCCTCTCCTCTCCTCTCCTCTCCTCTCCTCTCCTCTCCTCTCCTCTCCTCTCCTCTCCTCTCCTCTCCTCTCCTCTCCTCTCGGCTTCCCTTCCCTCGCCATTCACGAACATTGCTAGTCCGCCCGACGCCTTTTACGTCCAATCTGTATCACCCTACCCCTGTGTTGCTGTTTTCAATTTTCCCACCGGTCTGTTTGACTCGATATTGTTGAGGAAAAGAGCCAAGATCGCATCACATTCATAACCCCCACCCCCTCCAATTATCTGGAGGAAAATGCCGGTTTTTGGGGCGATGGTGCAGGCGAAATGCCGAGCGAGCCGAGAGTTGAAGGGAGGGAGGGAAGAGAGAGGAGAGCGAAGAGAGAGGAGAGCGAAGAGGAAAGATCGGATGAGAATGATGATGATAATGACCAGAAGAGCGGAGATGAAGACCAGGAGTACTGCAAACGAGAACCCTTCATGATGAATCCTGTTGAGGGATCGCTATCACAAGTATGCTAGACTTGCGCAGGGATGCGGACGGAGGCGTGTGCAATGCCGCAATGATGGTGCGATAACAAGGGAGAATGCTAACGTTGAGAAAAGATGGACTGGATTATGGGCAAGAAACTTTGACGAAGCCCCGGGCAACTTGTGCGAGCACGATTGTAGGAGGGAGTGGCATGGGATTTCCTGGGCAACTGATCGCTGGCCGACAGATGTATGCAACTGATCACCATTAAGAGATGAATCATGCCGCTTGGATCCTGACCTTCCTGAAGGTATGCTCCTCCTCCCTCCGCTCCTCTTCAGCTTCCCCTCCTCTCCTTCCCTCACTTTCCGTTTCGTGTCGGCTCTCTCCCCCTCCTCCTTCCTTTTCTCCTCCCCCTCCCCTTTCGTTCACGTTGATGGTAATAATCAGGTCGCCAGCATTGCCCAAGGCTTCACATCCCTCAAGCTCTGTCGCAGCATCGAGCTGAGGTCCTCCACTGTTGCTGATACCCCGTCAGATAACATCTTGCCTGGGTAGCCCCGAGCGAAGTGTTAAGCTGCACACGTATCAAGACAGAGCTAGGAGCGTGGAGAACGACAGTGACGTGTGTTTGTTTGTCAGATCTACTCCGATAATGCGAGGAGGAGGTCAAGACAACAGTGACGTGGGAACTTCTAGCGCCAGGTTCGCGAATACTTGGTGTTGAGTTTGCTTCTTTGAGTTTCCTGTTGGCTCATAATACTATGGATATGATGCTGATATTTGTTGCTGGGCTGCCCTTCGACTGAACTCATGTCCTATTTCAATCAGGTTGATCAGCGACGGCAACTCGCTGTCTTTCAAAGACCATGTCTTTCTGCAAGGTTTCTCTGATCAATTGAAAGTCAAACAACTGGTATGACCTGATTGTCCTCTGATGCCTCGGCCCAACAACCTCTTGCATTTTCTTGTGCTCTTTGTGATCCTCTCCCCTAATAGGACGAAGATTCTGCCTTCATCTCCATAGCTGCCAACAAACAGTCTGACGAGCATCTGGTCAGCCTGGGAAACATTCACTGCGAACAGTTCCTCGCCTGTTCGCGCCAGAAGCTGTGGTGAGGAGACGAAGGACGGGATGGAGAGAGGAGAGATGGAGGAGGAAGAAGAGAGAACGATCTGGAAGATGAGTGGGTGTGGGGGGGGTGAGGAGAAAGGGGTTGTAAGCATGGAGGGAAGGTCGGAGGTGGACAAAAGATGGAAGCAGGAGGGACGTGGAAGGAGCGGAGCAAGAGAGGAGGAGGGGAGGGGAGGGGAGGGAGGGGAGGGGAGGAAGAAGAGAAGAGGAGGAACAGAGGGAGGAGGAGTTTTTGGCACTTAGCCAGCATCTTTGCAGGTGGACTCTACCGCACTGGGGACGTTGGGCGCATGAGATCCCGGCGGAGACTCAGTTTCTGCTGATGAAGTTGGACCAGGACAGCAGCTCGGCATCTGCTCGCTATGCTGCGATCCTCCCTGTGCTCAGTGGAGGGTTCAGATCCTGCCTGACTGCTCGGAAAGACCATGTGAGACCCCAGAAGCGCTCGACGCCTCCTCTTCCCCTTGCAAACTCTCCTCCTGCACCTCCTGCACCTCCTGCACCAGTACCGTTTTTGCCTGCTCCTCCTCCTCCTGCACTCGTCCATTCGTACCTCCTCCTCACGTAACCCCGCCCCCCCCCCCCCCTTCCTGTACCTCCTCTGCTATCTCCTCATCTGTTATTGATCGGTCTGCCTTTCTTGCTCGCAGGACGAGATGTTTGCAAGGGTGGAGAGCGGAGACTCGGGGGTGCAGGAGAGGAAGATAGAAGACATCCTCTATGTCCGCTGCGGACACGATCCCTTCCTCCTCCTCCGCGAGAGTTTCCGCAGGCTATCGGAGAAGATGGGCACGTTCCGTGTTCGAGAGGACAAGGTGAGGAAAGAGGGAGGAAGAGGGAGGGAGGAGGGAGGGAGGAGGAGGAGGAGGAGGAGGAAGAGGAGGAAGAGGACAGAGAAGGCAGAAGCTGGAGAGAAAGTTCCTTTCAGGGTACCTCTATCCTCCCTCCTCTACCACAGCCACCGTGAGGAGAGCCTGTAATGTAACACGTACCTCCTAGTCTCTTCCCCCTTCCATCGAGCTGTTTGGCTGGTGCACATGGAACGCGTTCTACTCGGAGGTAGAGGGGAAGGGGATCATGCAGGGGCTCGCCTCCCTGGCAGCAGGAGGGACTCCCGCTCGGTTCCTCATCATCGACGACGGCTGGCAAGACACGAGCAACGACGAGGTGGTGGAGGCGACGGAGGAGAGGTGAAGAAGAGAAGAGGAAGAGGAAGAGAGAAGCTGCGCGTGACGCTCGGGATCTCAGGACTCCCTGGAACCTTGCCAAGAGGATCGTGAGGGTTTGAAGCTCCTCGTGTCAAAGTGCGTGGGGTGACGGCAGTGCTGCAGCAAGTCTGTGCTGGGGCTGTTGAGCTCGCTCTCTGTGTTGGGTTGAAATATTTCGAGACTTTTGTCAAACGAGCCCATCATGACTCGATCCATGTCAAGGTTGTCCATCAAACTCACATGACAATGCGATCTGATGGAATGCCATGCGTGTTGTGCCTAAGACATTTACTCTTTCTGTCAGTGATGGCTTAAGTTGTCTTGTCTTGTCTTGTCTTGTCTTGTCTTGTCTTGTCTTGTCCTGTCTTGTCTTGTCTTGTCCTGTCTTGTCTTGTCTTGTCTTGTCTTGTCTTGTCTTGTCTTGTCTTGTCTTGTCCTGTCTTGTCTTGTCTTGTCTTGTCTTGTCTTGTCTTGTCTTGTCTTGTCTTGTCTTGTCTTGTCTTGTCTTGTCTTGTCTTGTCTTGTCTTGTCTTGTCTTGTCTTGTCTTGTCTTGTCTTGTCTTGTCTTGACCGCTCTCACGGATCGCTCTCTAGTTGTGGAGATCGCTCACCTCCTCCTTTCTCTCTATCCCGCTTCTCCAGCACTTCCGCCGGACTACTGACTATGGCAAGAGACTTGTTTCCCCGCATGCGAACCTAAGGTGATCGTCATGATCTTTGTTTCGAGCTTCTCTTGCCTCCTCTTCATCCTGATTCTCACTCTCTTCTCCATTCCCGCTCTGATTCCCCACCTTCGTTCTATTCTTCTCCTGCTATTCTGCGTGTCCTCCTCCTCTTCCTCCTCCTCTTTCTCCTCCTCCTTCCTCCTCCTCCTCCTCCTCCTCCTCATCATCATCATCATCATCATCTTCTTCATCTTCATCGACATCGTCGTCGTCGTCGTCGTCGTCGTCGTCGTCGTCGTCGTCGGTCGCTGACACCCCTTTGAAGGTTCCTGCAGTCCCTTCCTGGAGGCGACCTGGGAGAGTTTGTCAACACCCTCAAAACTCAGATGGGCGTACAGCAAGTCTTGTGCTGGCATGCGCTCGCTGGGTACTGGTCCGGGCTGCGACCCTCCTCCCCCTCCTTCCAGTCCCTCTCCCCCTCCATCAACCGCCCCTCCCCGATGGAAGGAATTCTTGAGGTGGAGCGAGATAGGAGCTTGCTTTCATCTTTTTCTTTAACGTTTTTTCGTTCTTCTTCCTCCTCCCCTTTTCTTCCTCCTCCTTCTGTCCTTTTCTTCTTCCTCCTCCTTCTGCTGCCCTGTTCTTGTTTCTCCTTTCCTTCTCTCCTTCTCATTTCTGCCCTTCACCTTCTTCTTCCTTGTATCTCTCTTCTCTCCCTTTCCCACAATCTCTTTCCGTCCCTGTCCCCTTTTCCTCCTCCTTCTTTCCCCCCCTCCCTCCCCTTTCCCCTGCCTTCCTCCCCCCTCCCTCTCCCTTCCTCCCCCTCCCTCTCCCTTTCTCTCTTTCTCTCTGCTCTGTCCTCCAGGTCGAGCCTCAGCTCTCCTGGGACCCTCTCACCCTCGGGGGCATCGGGTTGCCACGGGGGGATCGAACCCTCGAGTTCTACCATCAACTTCACTCCTACCTGCGGTATCAGCGCGCTCCTCCTCCTCTGCGTGCACGTTTCTTCCTCCCTCCTGCCTCGCTGGTAGACTCGTCGACTCTCTGTTCTCCTCGTCGTCCACTCATGCTCATGTTCTATCGCGCTGACGACATTTCAGGAGCAACAATGTTGACGGCCTGAAAGTTGACGCGCAGGTGAGGACGGAGGTGGAGGAAGCAAGAGCTCGTGGGTGGAGGGCGGAGGGAGGAGGGAGGAGGGAGGAGGGCGGAGGGAGGAGGGAGGAGGGAGGAGGGAGGAGAGGAAGAGAGAAGGGAGGAGGGAAGTGCTCACAGGAGGTCAGGCAGCATTCACAATGCTGGGGGAGGGAAACGGAGGGACCGTAAAAGTCACACAGAAGCACATACATGTGAGAACATCCCTCCCAGTGCTCTTAGCTCCGTTGGTTTTAACCTCGTCCTCTTTGTTTCTGTACTTCGTTTCCTGCTCCTCCTTCGCTTCGTTCCTGTCATTCTCCTCGTCCTCGTCCTCGTCCTCGTCCTCCTTTTCCTCCTCTCCTTGCCCTGTCCTGCAAGCTCCTTCGTTTCCATTTGTCTCGTTTTTCCCCTCTTCCTTATTTCTACCTTCTCCTCTCCTTTCCTCAGTCTCCTTCTCTCGCTGACTCTAAGTGGGTAGATGATGGAGGAGTCTGTCAGCCGGCACTTCGGCTCCAGCAACTGCATCAACTGCATGTGCCACCCGACCGAGTGTCTCTACTCGTACAAGGAAAGACAAGAGGAAGTCAGAGGACAGAGGAGAGGAGAGGAGAGGAGAGGAGAGGAGAGGAGAGGAGAGGAGAGGAGAGGAGAGGAGAGGGCAGGAGAGGAGTTGAGAAGGGAAAGTGAGTGAGGGAGGAGAGGAGTTGAGAAGGGAAAGTGAGTGAGGGGGGAAAGTCAAGGATGGAGAAAACGAAGGGAGAGAGAAGGCAGGGAGGCAGGGAGAGAGAAGCGAAGCGTAAGGACAGAAGAGACTGAATGATGTTTGATGAGCAGACAACTTCTATCGTACGCGCCTCTGACGATTTCTGGCCGGACGACCCTGCGTCGCACACAACACACGTGAGAAACTCGAGGAAGGAGGGGGAGGGGTAGGAAGAGAGCGGAAGGATGGAAGAAGGGAGGGAAGGGAGGGAGGGAGGGCTGGCAAGTGCAGGTGGAGTGGGTAGAGTAGCCTAAGTTGTGATGTCCTTACAGCTTGTCAACGTCGCTTACAACAGCTTGTTCCTCGGGGAGATCGCACAGGTAGAAATGATTTCTTTCTTTCTTGTCTTGCACGTTGGTGAAGAGATTTGCTGCAGCCTGATTGGGACATGTTTCAAAGCGACCACCCCACCTCTCACATCCATGCCATCGCCCGGGCTGTTGGAGGCTGTTCGGTCTATGTCTCAGACAAGCCGGAGAGACACAACTTCGACCTGTTGAGGAGGTACAGGCAGCAGTTGCTCCTGTCCTGCTGCATGCTTGCATGCTTCCCTTCCCTTCTCCTCCACCCTTTGTTGTCCTCCCTCATGGCTATTTGTTGAGCTTGCTGTGTTCAGGTTGGTCCTGGCAGATGGATCAATCCTCCGAGCAAGACAACCAGGTTTCTTCCTCCTCCTTTTCCTCTCCCTCCTTCGCTCTAACTCCTCCTCCTGCCCTCCTGCTTCTGCCCGCTTGTCTGACGCTCAGCAGGACGTCCAACAAGAGACTGCATCTTTGTCAACGTCATGCTGGACGAGCGAAGTGCGCTCAAGGTGCGAGAGAGGAGAGGAGAGTTGATAGTGTAAGCTTCTCCAGGTTTGGAACGTGAACCAATGCAACTCAGTGCTTGCAGCTTTCAATCTCCAGGTGAGGCCGTGCGAGGAGAGGAAGAGAGGGAGGCAGGGGGGGTAAGAAGCGAGGAGCAGGAAGGGGAAGAGGAGCAGGAGCAGGAGCAGGAGCAGGAGCAGGAGCAGGAGCAGGAAGCATGCTAAGGAGCTGGATGGCAGGGAGCGAACTGGTGCAAGAAGAGCAGGCAGCATGTGGTTCACAGCGAGAGCGTCTCGAGCGTGAACGTCCTCATGCGAGCAAGTGACATCGAGGACAACCTGAGCTGCGACAAGTCGACCTGGTAAGAGCATGCGGACGAGGTGTTCCTGATGCTTGAGAAGTTCAAAGCTTCTCCCTCCCGGTCCTCCCTCCCTCCAAGTGCTCTTTTCATTTTGCTCCCCCTCTTCCTCCCCCTCCTCCCTTCCTCTCATAACCCTTCTCTCTCCTTTCTCCCATCTCCCACAAGAAAAGTTGTCACCGGGCATGCAGGTTTGTATGGACGACCAAGTGGTCAAGAGGAGGAGCGCTGGAGGAGGTGTGCCTTGGGAAGGAAGGGAGGGAGGGAGGGCAAGGAGTGACGCTCGCGTGCAGGCAAGTCAGCAGCTCGTTTCCTTGCAGGACGAGATCTCCGTCCAGCTGGAGGAGAAGCAGTGCTGCATCTGCACATGTACTCCTCGTCTCCTTCCTCCTTGTCCTCCCTCTCGTCCTCGTCCTCCTCGTCCTTCTCCTCATCTTCCCCCTTCCTTCGCTACCACTACCTCATCCTCTTCCTCCTTCTCGCACTCGTCCTTGTTCGCCGCCTTCTCTTCCTCGTTCCTACCTGACCGCACACTTGAAGTCGCTCAGGTCCACCAGCTCAAGGACGGGGGTCGTGAAATTTCAGCAGCTGCAGTGGGACTGGAGGAAATGTTCAACGCTGGTCAGCAGCAGCAGTGGAGCCTGAAGTTTCTGACATCAGCGCAGGAGGGGCTGTCCTCGCCGTCCATGCGGAGCAGAGCAGCATGCGGGTCGAGTCGCGCGGACCTGGTGAGAGGGAGGAGAGGAGCATGCGAGCTGATGGGCAGCAGGGACGCTGCTCCTGTTCTCCTCGGTGAAGCCGCTGGAAGTCAGATACGGGCAAGAGGTGAGAAGCGGGCAGGGGATCGGACCGAGGGAGGAGGGGGAGGAGGAAGTGGACAAGGACGACGAGGAGGGCGAGACAGGAGGGCGAGGAGGGCGAAGAGTAGGAGGAGGAGGAGGAGGAGGAAGCATGAAGCAGTGGTGTCCGACTCTGTTGCGCAGACTCTCGAATTTCAGTGGAGCGAGGAGGAGAAGACTGTGCGAGTGCCGGTGAATGTCTTGATGGATGTGGGCGAGGAGGAGGTAACGGTAGTTGAAGTTGACCTTCGCACGCGGAGAGATCAGCGTGAGGTACTGAGTCAAGAGCCTCGTCTTGCTCCGCAGCTTTACTGGTACAAGCTCTCAGAGCTTGACGGAAGTGAACTAGCACTTAAGATCCTCGACCTGTCTCTATCGCTCTCACTCTCCTCCTCACATCCTTGTTGTCCTTCTCCCTCCATTCCTTCTCCCTCAATCGCCCCATCGCTCCAGGTTCCTCCTCCCTCCTCCCTCCTCCCTCCTCCCTCCTCCCTCCTCCCTCCCCCCTTCTCTCTTTCTTCGCTCTACTTTTCCCCTACCGACACCTCGGGTGCAATTCGGGACTTTTTGACTGTCCCAAGGGTCGCAACTTGCTGGTAGCAACTGCGTAGGAGAGCATGGCGGAGGGAAGGAGGAGCGAGAGGAAAGAGCAAGAGGCAGAGACGTCATGACAAACCGCTCGAGCACGCAGCATGCCTTCAGGAGTCGGTCTTACCCTCTCTCAGTCAGCGTATGGCGCCATACACGTACGACAAACTTCGCCTGCTGCTCTCCTCTCACCTCCCACCAGGTAGCGCACATCTCGCAAGACTCCAGCATGGCCAACAGTCCCATGCGAGTCGGCGATCAGCTCGTGCATGTCAACGGCATCTCTGTACGAGCATCTGCATGCTCCAGGTGTCGCCGCTGAAGCTGCCGCAGGTCTTCGGCATGTCGTCCTCCTCCTTCAGAGCCCTGCTGGATCAGTCTCCGACCGACTGCTGCTTCACCTTCTACCGAACAAGGTGATGCTCCTGGTGTCCTCGCTGCTGGCTGCTGCCTTACTGTCTCATGGCAGTCCGGAAGAGGGAGGGAGGGAAGGGCGTGAGGAGGAAGGAGGGGGCGAGGGGGACGTAGGGAACCCCTCACTCTCAAGATTCTTCGAGGTGCATATCGTTGGTGGCTCGCAGCTGGTATCGGAGGTGAAAGAGGAGCCCAGCACAAACGAGGAGGAGGAGGAGGAGGAGGAGGAGGAGGAAGAGGAGGAGAGCTGGCAAATAGAGAAGTGATTGACATGCGTTGAGGGATTCGTTTGACGAGGAGGCAGGATCGAGGTGGCGTCAGCAACGACAGGGCCTTGCGAGTTTCGGCAACGTAGCGAGTCGCCGGTATGTAGCAGGGGCGAGAGAGAAAGACGCGATCTGACGGGTTGAAGGAGGAGGAAGCGGAGGAAGCGGAGGAAGCGGAGGAAGCGGAGGAAGCGGAGGAAGCGGAGGAAGCGGAGGAAGCGGAGGAAGCGGAGGAAGCGGAGGAAGCGGACCCACAGCAGGCGCATGTTGATATTGGAGCCCCTCCCTCGTCTCATGCGTCGCTCTCGGAAGTCGTTTGCTCTCAACAGTCTGCATGTGCACAGGAAAGCTCTCCGTCGCATCGACCTCCTCACCTGGTCTTGAGGAAGAGAATCTCGCCCGAGGTGCTCGCGCTGGCCATCAGGATCAGCGACATGCGGGAGATGGCGAGGAGCTCTCTGAGTGACTCCTTCCTCACCTGGATCACCCACCTCCTCTGCCTCGCCTCCGCCTACGAGCTTTTCATGCTGACAGGCATCATCCCACTCAGAGGAGAAGGTGGGGTCGGTCGTCAGGACGCCCTTGCCGCTCTGTGCCCAGCCTGGGCCATCTGCAGTATGAACTTGATCGCGCTGCTGCTGCTATGGCGGTGGGGCCGCAAGGTTGGTCGCTTCAAGCTCTTGTATGCGATCGCGCGCAGGAGCGGGCTGTTCTTCCTCCTGCTCGCCGGCAACGTCTTCATGGCCGCCATCGAGGTCGTCGTCTACCTCCGTCTGGCACAGGAGGGAGGAAGCGAGTGGCTGCAGGAGGACAGGAACTTTCTCCTCTGCCTGCTCTCCATCGTCGCCGCGGCCCTCTTCTGCTACTGGACCTGTCGCTCAGCATGCGCTTTCCTTGACCAGCAGGACGGAGTGGCCACCAAACTTCGAAGGGAGCTCTACTCGCTCACATACAACATGCTAGACGTGCTGACGTCAGTGGGAGTGCTGGTGCAAGGCTTCCTGCTCTACCTCAAGGTCTCCAACTTCATCCACACTGCCTGGTCCCTCGTCTTTCTCCCTCTTCACGTCATTCTCGCCATCAACTTTCTCTTGGTGTTCAGCAACCTCTGGCAGGGAGTCTTCAAGCTCGGGGAGGGTGTGCGGCTCTGGCTGGTGGCCTCTATCGACATCCCCTTCCTCCACATGGAGCTTATTCTCCTCCTCCTCCACGTCGACTACAGCAGCGGAGGCTTCTGGCGCTTCGACGTCACTCTCGTTCTTTCCCTGCATGCCCTCGCGCTTACGGCCCTGCTCGTCTTTGACATCATCGCCCATCGCCATGCCCCCCCTACCGCTCCTCCAGCTCTTCACTGGCTGCAGCCCCAGCTCAAGTCTTTGCGGGTCGTGGCGTCGTCCAGCTTCCTGCAGGCCAAGGTCTGCTGGGCCTCGCCGACCTCGTGGGATGGCATGAAGCCCTTCGATCACTTCCGGCTCGAGAGACAGACAGCCAGCGCCCACGGGGCCTTCTGGTCCCTCGTGTATGAGGGCGATGAGCAGGCCGCCGTTGTTCCTTCGCTTCCTTCCGGTTCCTCCTGCAGCCTTAGGGTCTGGGCTGCGCGGAGCTCGAAGTCAGATTGGGTTTGCGGGCCCAAGACCTCCTTCACAGTGCCGATGTTATAGAGGAGAGGAGAGGAGAGGAGAGGAGAGGAGAGGAGAGGAGAGGAGAGGAGAGGAGAGGAGAGGAGAGGAGAGGAGAGGAGAGGAGAGGAGAGGAGAGGAGAGGAGAGGAGAGGAGAGGAGAGGAGAGGAGAGGAGAGGAGAGGAGAGGAGAGGAGAGGAGAGGAGAGGCAGGCGCGAGGAGGAGGAGAGAAGCAGGAACTTCAGTTGTTTACTGCCCCTTGCTGTCATCATGAATGAATGAATAATCATGAATGAATGAATGAATGAATAAAAACCAACACAACCCCTGCGGCGTCAACTTTTGCTTTTCGGAGCCTCCGGCCACTCCACTTTCTCCCGTCCTGCATCTACCCCGTCAGCCCCTGCTCCCCCTTACCGCCTCCCCCTACTTGAGTTCGACTTGGACGCATTCTTCGAACTTTGTACCCCCTGCGGCATCTTCAACATACTTGAGCAGGGCATCACGAGGGGACCTGTTCTTTCGGAGCCCCGTCGCCTTCCTCCTGCTCTAAGACGACACAGCTCTCTCCCCATGGGCGTTCCCGTCCCTGCAACTTTCGTCACCCTCCAAAGCCGGATTGACATCGCCTGGCCTTGTTGCGCGTGCTGTCATGGTCGTGTCTCCTTCTAGAAGCATCGTTCCAGGAGGTCTCTTCCCGTGCTGCATCGTGTCAAAGGCACCATGCAGCACGTTCATGACTGTCACCTCCTCCGGAGATCTTCCTCGACAACGGGGTGGGCGTGGCTGATGCTGCTGCATAGTCTTGCCATGTCATCCCAGGATCCAGAGAATCTCCTGGCAGCTTCAAGGAGACGTTGGGAGACGCTTCGCTGTATGCCGGGGCGACTGTGTCCGGCATGGAAGGAGCTGGAGGGTTTGTGACGCCCAACGATTTCTCCAGCAACATCAATTGATGAATGAAAGCTGCAAACACAGCAACGTCACGCAGGCATCGGGTTCTTGGGTCGAGCATCACCGCAGTTGGGCGCAGCTGCGGGATGCTTGTCGCGAATAGCTTGCAAGGTAGCGGATAGAGACCAATGGTTTGCTCGCATGATGTACGAGGCAACGATTGCGGTCGATCTGCTCTCAGTGTCAGCGAGAACCAAGAGAAACATGCACAGAGCAGTCTACACACCGGCTGACACCGCCAGCACAATGTACGAGCACGTTGTTTCCAGGCTTGTCGAGAGCTTCTGAAATGAAAGAATAGGCACTGTCGAAGAACTAAAACGAAGCATGAGTTCAATTAAGTTTCAAAGAAATCTAAAGAAAGTGACCTGTGATACGTCGCTGGTCACCGAGTCTGCGACGAAGCAGTTGAAATATACAATCTGGTTCTCAAAGAGACGCGAGTCATCTCTTGAGACGTTTAGTATGTGAGTGATGCCAGTCCTCTGTAAAGTTTCTAAGTTTGCAGCATGCGTTTTGTTTCCTATGTACAATCCCTGAATCACCTGCACGAAGGTCTAAGGTGAGGGCAGAAGCAAAGTAAACGAACAAGGAGCAATCAAGAAAGATAAGGAAATCAAGAATCGCAAGAATGCAGAGGAAAGCACAAAGAAAGATTGCGCGTGAAGACAAGTCTACCATGGCTGGCGGGACTTCTTGTGGCGTGTCTATGGTAACCTTCCATCTTGGCGTGGATCTTCGTTTGGTTTCAGGAAAGGCTTGTGGAAGCGATGCACCCTTGGGTGTCATAGCCCCGCTGAGTCTCGAGCCCAGCGACTCCATTGAGTCCGGTCGATCCGAATTGGAGCCGGTCGCGTCTATTACCAAACATGTCTTGAGCTCCTGGAATGCTTTAATGCCCCCAGCTATCCTTCCAACCTGTGATGGGTTTTGTCAGCAGCTCGCCTTCATGCCAGTACAGTCAAGACCTCAGGTACAAGACTGTTGTCTACCAACTTCTGGGCAAACAAAGTCGCTGGTCCAAGGCTATCTACCATATCCCCCCTCGAGTCGTACACGACTAGACAGCTCCCAACCTGGAGTGACGATTCAGAAGAGCACAGAAAGATTCAGATGCTGAATCTTTACATGCACAGTGAGTTTCCCAGATGAAAATGCTTTTGACAACGCTCCGGGTGTGATCGCAGTCTACCAAACACATATTACTCTGGTACAAAATTTGCGACGAAACACCGTACCAGCATAGCATCTAGAGGTTTGTTGTCGACTCCTTCAAGATCATCACCTTCTCCCCATGGAAATGAAAGTGCGCCTTCTATATGCATTCCCTGATACGATTCAAACCCTCTTACATCTACTAGCACAACCTGCAGGAGCACGGGTTCAGTCGTGATACGTCTTCGCGTGGTGACAACAAAGACAAACGAGAGCATTGATACTAACATGCACGTAAGGAGATCGTATGGCATGCAAGACATCCGACGATGCGAGAAGGAGGACGGCGCCCTTGTCCTTCCCTGCATTCGGTCGTGCGCATGAATCCGACTGCCTTCTCGGTTCGCTGCAGCAGTTAAATATTTGACATGTCATGCCTTCAACAGGCTTGAATGAAGAAAGAATCCTTCCTCTGCACCCTGCAAACACGAAGTCCAGTCAGTCCAGAACAACATCAACTTGTCAACAGAAATATTGCTCCTGAGAACTTATGGTTGAAGTCATGGGGTTACACTACATCTCAGATCGGCCAAACAACCCACGAGATTGAAAATGAGATTGAACAAAGACCCTCGACCATGATAGATAGATCAATGAAACACACTCGGGATTATCCATAGATAGAAGCCGGACTGCGTTCGCAAAGACAAGGGCATCAAGATCGCGATCGAATAAGCCAGGCATCGTCGAAGTTTCGACAAGCAAAGGCATTATGCAGGTACACAAAGCACTTTTTAGGATACAACTCGAGGACTATTGGATGTAGGAGAGCAGCATGGGCCTCAGCGGCAACAGCAGCTACAAATCACACTGTGTTGCATGTCACGATAACAAGAGGGAGCAAAGAAAAGAAGGGACTAGAGTTGCGGGGGGGCTGTCTCAGATCAAACACTGGGTCAGCAGCGATGAATAGTTAACTTTTTGACGCAGAAGGAGTCAAACAGGGAGGAGGAGGAGGAGGAGGCAGGAGCTCTGGCAAGGGGCCATCGGGATCCAAGCATTCGCGCCCGAAATGGCCAGAGTCCGCATTTAGGGGTAGGGATTAAGGTGGGGTGGTGATGATTGGGGTCAGAAGGTGGGGTTGTTTATCCAGAAAGAAGGGTACATTCTTAGAGTAGAAAGTGGGGTGGTCGGATTTTTTATAGGGGTGTTCAAGAGATCAGTGATCAACTATGGTGGGGTGGCCAAAAGGCATTCCACATATGGGGTGGGTACAAAATTGAAGCTATCCGTGAGGAGATAAGGTAGGGTGGTGACTTAGTGGGGGTAGTACGGGTCTTGCAGATAGTCAGCTGGTTATAGAAAGCCATGGGGGTAGGGTTTGTGAAGCACAATGTGTGGGGTGGTGGTTCAAAAAAAACAATCAGTACCACGGGTAGTGACCCCCAAAGTGTATACCCATGAGGGGTGGGGGTGACGAACGGGATCAGTACCATACCCACGGAAACCACCGAAAAAATGAGGACAAAAATAGGCAAGTACCGGTCCTTTTCTGTCTCAACAACCTTGGGGTTCACTTGTCACTGTACAAGGGGGGCGAGAACTGGGGTGGCGTGTAGGTGCCTGCTAGAGGGTGGGGTCTCAATTTCCGGAGACAGGGGTCCATGAAAAGGGGGCAGGGGTGGAAGGTAATCTCAGCCGTCGGTTGGTTCTGGAGATTAAAGGGGTAGTTGGTTGGTAGGGTGGGTCCTTTACTATTAATATAATGAAAAAAAGTTTATCCTTGGGACCCACCCTGATGCACTACCATTCATCCCTCCGAACAGACTACCTACCCCGAGTCGATGACACACAACAATTTGACCCATGGGGTAGAGGTAACATCCGAATGAAATTTGTTCCCGGTGGGCGGGAAATGGGGGTGGGGTGGTGAGACAGGAAACTATTTTGGTTGCTGTGTGACTGCAAATAGGAAAGGAAAAATCAAAAATAGACATTTTTGTAAATTCAGATCGAAAAAGTGTACTTTCGATCTTTCCAATGCCCCCTCGTGGTTGAAAGGCAAGGAACCCCTTTTTTTTTTTGAATGCACATCTTCGTTGCGAGAAGTACCCCTACCTGGTCTGTTCCGGTTTAAAACACCGGTGTTTCCAGCCTTAAAATTTTTGAGCTGATTTTTTCTTGAAGCCTATGTTTATTGAAACTTTGGATCCATTTGTTAAATTTTGTTGGAAACTTTGGGAGGTTCACTTGAAAGTTGTGCAAATACCCTCAATGTGAGATTACTGCACAATTCGGACTTCGGAGTCTCGTGATTACTGCGGCCGTGACTCGAGAGCAAAAACAAACATTGCCAAGAAAATTTTCCGAGAAAACAAGCCGTGACTCAGAGTGGCTCCACCGGCCCATTCAGACCGGCGGACCGTGACTCAGTGCGGGCCGTAGCCTCCTGGGCGGGACGGCGGGACTGGGCAACCATCCGCGGCGGCTCGGAATCGGCGCCAGTACCGTGACGGTGGGCCAGTACGGTCCGACGGTCCGATCCGATGGCATCGAGTCGGGCCCAATGGGATCATGCCGCATGGGGGACTCGGGGTCCGATCGCTGCCCGCCAGCCGCGGCGCGGCTCCCGGGGAGCGCGGCCGCCTGCCGGGGCCCGGCGCCCGGCCGCCAGGTCACTGGGGAGTCTCCCGTGCGGTGAGGGGCCCGGCGGACCGGACGGTCGGAGTACGCCCCGCGGGGGGCGGCAGTCACTGCCGTGATGGTCAGTGCGCCCCGCGCCGCGCGGCCCGGCCCCCGCGCACTGGCCGCAAGTCCGATCCGACCGGGTGAGCGGCACTGCACCCGGCGAGCCGGGGGCCCGGCCGGGCGGCCCCGCCACCGGTCACGGCCGCCGCAGTCCGGCCCCCCTCCCGACCGTGATCGGATCGGACTCACTGACAGTGAGGAGGCCGGGCTCCGAGTCAGGCGGCCGGCGGGCCCACGCGGCGGCGACCCGGTGTGAGTCAGCTGCGGCCACTGAGTTCAGTGCATCCTGGCAAGTCAAGACCTGCTAGAGAAGGGTTTAAATGTGAGCTTCTGCCTCTCATTTATCGCTTAATGATGTGACTGAGGTGAACTTGCTTTTACTGGCGATGCTCCAGGCATGGCAGACGCCGGCGCAGCTCCAGGTTCGGGTGTTATTGCAGCCGTAATGGCTCATCGAGTAGGACAGGATATGAACAGATGCTTGTGCATGCTGCTGCTGCACTGAGCCTGCCTGGGTCTACCTGACCTCTCAAGAGGAGGAGACGCTTCATCCCAGTTGCGCCCTTGCACGACGCATTGACATAAGTGGATTGCCGCTTTTCCTGCCTGCCAAGAGAGCACCTTCAACGCTGTCTTGAGGACTGCGCAACCTCTGCTACAAAACAGGAACGATGTTCTCTGCTCGCTCCGTTGCTTGCACTTGCCTGTTGTTGCAGCTCGGGTCTGGAGTGATCCTCCCGGGGTTCAAACCCACGGGCACCAAGTTTGACATTGGGACCGGTGACCTTGGAGATGAGAAGTTCAGAGACAAGGAGACGCTACATAGAGTCTCGAATGGTGAGTAGAGCAACATGCCCCTGCCCTCTCTGTACTTCTATGCGCCTGAAACATGTACAGTGCCTGGCGACTTCGACGACCTGGATGAAGCAGTAGATCACATCCGGCTCATGGTTCGCAACTCGGTCACATCACAGCGAACATTGATCAATCTTGGACCCGGGAGCCATCTGATCAAGAAGAAGGTCAGGGATTCACCCCTGCAAATTCTTGCAGTGTTTTGATTTTCCCCGCACAGTACAAGGAGGTGGCGATTCAAAACAAGATCTGGCCGTATTTCAGGGTCCACACCCCAATCTTTCTGGATGGAAAGAGAACAAGGTCCACTGCAAGCTGTCGATGCCTCCAACTTTACCCTTCACAGCTTGCTCTGAGATTTTCCTTGACCAATCTATGTTTCACAATCTATGTTTCAACTCATCGTCTGTATTATTGCTGAATAGCATTCAGCTCCACCACCAATATCTTCATAGTCAACTCTATCATCATTATCTGTATCATCTCTAAGCATTGAAACGTTGCTCACAATCACTGTATCTCTTCATCTTCACTCTGATACCATCCCGCCTTGTGGTGCCCTCACGATCATCACAGGGCCCTGGTGCCAGACGATGGAGCAGAACCTGTTCAAAGCAGTGAGAAGCCGGTGGCGTACCTTCCCAAACGAGATCCGCGATTCGTCAACATTACAAACTCACTCCAGGTCCGTTGAAGACGATTAGAGCGCTACTTAGAGTGGCAGTGTAAGATGGGCAGAGGAGGGGAAGTAGAGGTTGATTAAAGCAGCTGATTCAGAATGAAAGTGCACGGGAGGGAGGGAGCAGGAGACGAGAAGTTAGTAGGGAAGAACGATATGGAAGATGACATGTCCTTGGTTCAGGTCATCGGCAGTGAAGGCATGAGAACGCGGGTGTGTGGAACATGGAGGTTTCATGCTCCCGGCTGCACTGGATGGATTCGAGAGGTGAAGAGGAGAATGTGTTGAAGGAGAAGGAAGAGAGGCGAGGAGTGCAGGAGAGAAGTAGAGGAGGGTAAATGATGAAGACGATAAGGAGGGAAAGGGGGAGGGAGATAGTGGCAAGTAGGGAGCAGGGATTCGTGGCAGGAAAGCAATGAACAAGGTCTGCAGTTGGTCCTTGTCAACCAGGAGGACATGGTCATCAGCATCAAGGTACGGGAATGGGGCTCATATAGTAGCGAGCAATGACGAGATCGCAGGATGGAGATTGGAAATTCGAAGGATGCATGTTTGCTGCTGCAGGTACCCTGCCTTGCTTCAATGTCATGTATCTGCCTGCCTTCTTCTACTTGCTTCTTCTCCTTGTTTGCCTTGTCTGTCACTGATATCCCCGGCTCCTGTTTGGACTTGTGTCCTGCTGGTTACTACTTTGCCCTTGCTCTTTTAAGATTTTCCCCTCCTCTCTCTTGTTTATTAGCTCGTTCGTCTCATAGTGCGCTTTCTTCTTGGTGATCTGCCCCTTCTATCCGCTTCTCATTGTGTTCAGGCCGGGAAATTCTTGCAGTAAATGTCTTGGAGCTGAGCGGAAGGTAGGGAATATCTTCCTCCTCCTCGACCTCCTCGACCTCCTTTTCCCCCCTCGTCCTTCTCCTCGTTCTTGTCGTCGTCCTCGTCCTCGTCCTCGTCCTCGTCGTCGTTCTCCTCGTCCTCGTCCTCGCCCTCTTCCAACCCCCCCCCCGGCCCTCCTTCTCCCTGTCTTCGAATGCTTTACTCCACATGCGTTTGCTGTTTCTTGCTCTCCTGTATGTCATCACGTGTCTTAAACTCACTCTTTCCTTTAGCACCATGGTATACCTGGACCAGTGTATCATCCAGACTTTGTTTCCCGGCACCCCCGACTCAACTTGGGCAGTGGTAACTTCACCATCCGCTTCCTCCTCCTTCCATCGATCCTCCCCGCTCCCTTTCTCTGTTTCGACCCTTCCCATTCCCCGCTCTTTGTCGCATAGCTGAAGGAATGCTGCTGCTGCTGCTGCTGCTGCTGCTGCTGCTGCTCTTGCTCCTGATCCTTCTTCTAAACCATCTCTTCACTTCACTCTCTTCTCTTACACGCTCCTTGTCTTGCTCTCCTCTGCTTGCTCTCCAGTGGCCTCCCGGGTTTGCAACGCAAGGAGAACCTATGTATCCTTCTGCCTACAACCCATGCCCGCAGGTGCGAGAAGGAAGGGGAGGAGGAGTGCGAGGGTAGAGATGTTGAGAGGAGACTGCGGCCTCGGAACTTGGAACAGGAGCATGGATTACGAGGGGAAGAGAGGCGGCCAAAGGAGTTGCGGACTGGAAGTAGAAATCAATCAGGAGGAGGGGTAAAGGGAAGGAGGAGAGGAGGATTGCTAGCAGGGAATAATCGGGAGGTGGAGGAGGAGAATGTGAAAGATTAACGAGGGGGCAGGACGGGTATGCCAACTTCGGCCTATATATTCGTGGCCCGTGCAAGTGCAACTTATTCCGCTGCAGCATGCAGGGGCTGCTGATAGGGGCAGGTGAGCGAGAGGAACGGAAGGGGGACGAGGGAGGGAGCAGAGAAGTTGAAGAGAACGACCGGGGGAGGAGAGGACAGGAAGAGTGGGGGAAGGGGAAGAGGAGGAGAAGAACAGGAGAAGGAGGTAGAGGAGGGAAGTATGAACAAAATTGCAGGCGTAAAGGATGTGAGTGAAGTCACGTTTGACGAATGCGTGATTCGATGGAATCAATACGGTGAGAAAGGAGGGGAGAAGAGGGAGGGAGAAAAGGAGGAGGAGGGGGAGAGAGGAGAGAGGGGGAGGAGGGAGGATGGAGGGCGAATAGAGAGGGGGGAGGGGAAGAGGGAGGGGAGGAGGGAGC